CCTCTTCACAGCCGCCTGCCAGACATGGCCCTAAAACAGCGAATCGCAAAATAAATCCTCATGAGCTTGGACGCTCATGAGGATTTACGGGGGGGGGGGGGGGGGGGGCGGCCATGACTCTGCAAACTGTCTGCGCCAAGCGGCATAAATCAAGAAGAGCTCGCAAAGCATAAATTGAAACATATGTTCAAATGCAGACATATAAGCTAATTTAAACATTAAGCCAACAAAAAAACACTTGGACTCGGTACCCGGCTATTTCACAGGGTGTAAATGCAACGTGAGATGTGATGATTATATGTTGAAGAAGATCAACATTGGAGGCTTTGCAGAGAACGTTTAGAGGATGGGTGGTCATTTTCTTTTAGGTTGAACATTCTTGAACAAGGGGAGGCTTTAGCTATCTATAATCTCTCTTCAAACTGAGAAGATACGAGTAAAGCCAGAGATATGTCACATGGCGTGATGTGATCCCGCTCTTAAAGATAGCGATAGCGAGTGAGGCGTAAAGTTACCACCTCCTTGTCCTCCACTGTCATTACATGCTGTTATAGATTTACGTCTGTATACATTAAACTGAAGGAGGATATTTCAGCCACAGACTTTTGGGTTTTGGTGGAGTGATGAGCAGTTATGACTCCCACTTGGCCCGCCCATTCTGAATATGCATGCACCAATTTTAAAACTTCATTTGAGAATATTTTCTGCTATTTATCAAAGAGTTAGGTTAACAGGATGCCTGTTTAGATAAAGGTGACATAACTTACAAGAACGTACTCAGAAGTGATGACGATATTGGCTAGGAGCGAGCCAGGGGGCGGGGCTTACTCTCGCCTAACCTCGGCTGTGTTTTAATGACAAATACACACCAATACACGACATTTTTGCATATGGGAAAATGTGCTTGGGGGTTAGGGTTTTCATCCCACGGGGGAGGGGGGGGGTTCAACAGTTCAAGTGTTTTCTCTGTCAACATGCAAATCGTTTAAATGGAGACGTAAACTTTGCACAACTGGAGTGACAGTGGAGCAGTTGTGGCAACATGCAGCCTTGCCCCCCCCCCCGCTGTAACAGAGAGGGGGAGAAACGTGACGGTGGAGAAAACATATCTATGCACTTGTACAGGCTACGTTACAAATGTGAAGAGATGGTTGAAAACCTTCACTGTGCCAGTGAAGCCCTCCCCACTGGATCTTTGAAAGCTCCCAGGTGGAGGTAACCATGGCAGCCGGATGGCATTCCTCCTCTCGTTTGCGCTGCGTGACGTGTTTGGACATCTGCAGCAGGGTGAGATTACTACATCAGTCTGAAACACGCTTACTATCTTTTCATCAGCACATTGAGGAAACATCTAAACATCCCGGATTCTCAGACCTCTCCCGGCAACGCCACCCAGTAATGTCAACAAATTCCCTGAATGGGATCTGCACTGTTGAACAAACCGGGAGACACCACTGAGCCTCCGGTGAAGTTCTGTCAGCAGAGTGAAGTTTTATGGACAAAAGGGGAAGAACAATGGGAAAACGATGTGGGAGTCTTTCTGTCTCCGACTGTATGTTTGGAGTTATGCATCTTGCAGATAAGAGGCCGGGATGTGAATGCGTGATGATTAAAGAGCAGCGAGCTATCAAAAGCAGGCCGAGCATGTTTGAGGCGGCGCTGTGGGGAGACGAGCGCTTATTCTGTTTGTTAACCAGACACGCACACATAAAGAGACGCTGAACCACCACCCAACAGGAGGGGAAGCAGAAGGCAGATTGTTCTGTAAGACTTGATTCTTTTTTAACTTAGAAGAAGCTTGCGCATCAAGAGGAAACGGGAATTCAAGTAAGAACGTTTAATCAAACATAAATCATTGTTTTCAGGGCTGAAATTTTGCATTTGAAGTCGATCTTTGCCAAACTTTCCTCTCAGCTTTTTTCACAAGCTCTCTTTTTCAGTTTTTAACTCTTCTCTTCTTTCAGAATAAAGAAGGAGTTTGTTGACGCACGCGGACTTTACGCCCTGATGGAGGCGCCTCCAGCTCGAAGAATGACCAGAAACCACCTTGATCCAAACAGGCAGACCGCAAAATGACCACCATGAATCAACCCAGTCTAACACTCTGTGTGTGCGTATGCAGTCCATGTGCATGTATGGTTATTCGAGTGTGTGTGTGTGTGTGTGTTGATGTGTAGGTTTTGTGCCCAACCAAACACACACCACACACACGGCCCACCCGGGGAAGATAACTCGCGTTCGTGGCAGGAGTATTAGTTTCACTATTGCGAAATCATTGTTCATAAAAAAAGAGTGGACTGTGTGTTTTTAGCCAGGTAAGTTATGTGTGTGCCCGCAGGCCGAGACCAATGTGTGTGTGTGTGTGTGTGTGTGTGTTGATTTATTAGCGTGCATTAGAGACATGAAGATGGAAACATGCGAGCAAGGGTGACACAGGCGTCTCGAAACGGTTAAATGATGTGTTTGTATGTGCGTGCATTCCTAGGAGGATCCCGAGTGGATCAAAGCCCGTGCCACCCCAGGCAGTGTCCTGCTGAGGGAGCCAGCTGTCAGATCTCGGATCAGAGATCAGCGGCGTCCCCCCCCCCTCCGCCGCTGCCTCTTCGCTCTCTGTGGGGTCCGTCACAGCAAGTTAGCACTCGGCCAAAGGCACTGATCAACAATCAGATTAAGGCCCCCCCCCGAATAATAGCTGTGAGGATCGGGAGAGAGCTCCAAAGTAAGAGTGCTGTCGTTTCTCAGTTCCACTACTAAACTGACTACTACTGATAACATCGATACTAGTAGCTAGGATAGTACAACTTATAAGACTGCTGCAATGATGTTCTCAATTAACATTATACAGGAAGTACTTTCTTCCCACAACCTTTTTGTTTTTTGGAAGGCGAATTCAAAATGCAGTTGCAGCCCCCGTGGCTCGTCCTGAAGGCAGCCATGTTGGGATCCACTGATAAAAGCAGCATTCTTAGGAGGTAAAACTGAGGCTAAGTGACTGCGAAATGGTCAGGAATTCAGTCTTAACACTGTTTTGGAAAACCATTTGCTGTTTACCTTAATTTTCTCTTCCAAACTTTGACTGAAGCTCGAGTTTCTCGACCTGTCAGACTCCTTTTCGGAGATGTTGCAGCGAACCCGAATCTCAGCAATTAACTTGGCGAGTGCGATGTTAGTATCACGGATACGAACAACGGCAAAGAAGAAGAAGAATAAAAGCCTAGATTGTAAAACAGAATAGGCAAGGATCATTCTCCCTTACGTAATGCCAATCCATGTGGTGTTTCATGACCTTGAGAACGCAGCATATAAAAAGACTGTGAGAAACTTTAAACATTCGGCTCAGGAAGAGCAGATTTAGGCGGACTGACAATTGGCAAAGAATTGTTAATATAAGCAAAATGGTGCATTACAAATCTTCCACATAAAACACAGCACCGGTGGTAAGATGACTCAGCCCTACTGCATTGGCTATCGACTGTGCAAGTGTGTGTGCTAGTGTGTGTGTGTGTAGTCAGGTCGGGCGTGCACGTACCCCTGTGTGCCAGTGCTCTGGTCAGCCCAGCCGTGGTGGATGTGCTGCCAACTCGCCCTCTTGGCAGGCACTATGAAATCCTTTTTTTTAATTTTACCTCCGCAGTGGTCAACAATGTCAACAGCTCAATCCGACCACATGTGTGCGCAGAGAGTGTGTATCGGTGTGACTGCAGCGCTTGTGAGGGAGCCTTCCCTTCCATGAGCCCTTCCAATGGGATGTGATACGGGTCTGTGCAAACGCTGTGTGTGCAGCTGCTGCAGGGTCGACTTTAGAACTTTACTTTCCGGTGAATTAGAGGGGCACTTTCACACTATTTATTCAATCAATATTTTTTCTTGAATTCGCAGAAGTTTTGAGATATCTGCTTTTGACATTTTTTATCCTCCACCCTGATACGATGGAGGTGAACGGACGTCTTCCTAGAAACAGTGTACACATTACCCTCAATAAACCGCAGGCCTCACTGTCAACAGACTACCTGGGACAATAAGACTCGTTGTAGCTGACAAGATTGAATAATTCAATCTCATTAAAAACTTTATTTTAAATGTGTCTAAAGGGCAAATATGTTTTGTTGGCTGACTTTCACAGACATCGTGTGAGGTGGTAAAGAAGACATTCGAACGTGGTTTTAACAAAGAGGTGTGGTCTGATAATTAATATATATATATTTGGTCAGATTATTTTGAAAGGTAAATTTAGAAAAACGGATGTTTTAGTGTTTCCAAACTGTGTCGGACAAGTTCCTTGAAAAGTAATCAATTCCTCAAAGCATCAGTTTTTGTAAAAGTAAGTATTTAATTATTACATAATTTCTATTATTGTCACATAATAGGAAAGGGATAATAACACATTTAGAGGAATACAAGATGACATACAATTGAGAGGTGCTTATTGTCCAATTTCAGGGGATTCCTGAACGTAGGATTACAGATAATCAGAGCAGACAGCAAACTAGAATCAAACCCCACTAAGACAGAAACCTAGTTATGGGATCAATGCATTTCAAACACTACTCTTTGCTCAACAAAGTAAGCATATCACTGTAGCAAATTATTCAGTAAATCTTACTGCTCAACATCAATTCTTTATTTATTTTTTCAACAGACCCAGTTATTCATTTTTACTGCAATGGAAGAAGGGGTCTCGGTGAGGATGATCTCGAAACCCAAACTATCCTCTTGCCGCTACAGAGCAAGTGAGAAGATATGTTGTTCTGTTTTGGGTCGTTGTAATTCGGGTGTGGCATCAGATGTGGTGTAGCTGCTCCCTGTCACTGCTGCCCTTTTGCACTTTGCTCTTAAAGCTGCATGCTTTAACTGCCTTCGCTTTAGGAAGTTTTTGAAGCTCAAGCCCCCCCCCTCTTCCTCCTCCTCCACCACCTCCTCCTCCCCACGGACACATTCGCACACACACTTCAACTTTCTCTATCCCTGCCCTCCCTTCCTCCCTCCCTCCATCTCTCCCTGTCAGTCTTACACCCTCCTCTCAGCCCGAAAGGAGTGCACAAGGACAAAATACTCCTCCCGCTCACAGCACACACTCGCTGCTCATGCATTGAGTGCAATGCCGTGTGATTGAGAGAGAGAGAGAGAGGAGGGGGGAGAGTGGAGAGAGAGAGAGAGAGAGAGAGAGAGAGTGCATTTACTTTCCCTCTCTTCCCACTTGAGGGAAGCTGTAGTGTGGAGAAGCTGCATAAAGAGTGTGGTGCCAACTGGACTTTTGTAGCAAATCATGGTGGCTAAGAAGTAGAAGAAGAAGAAGAAGAAGAAGAAAAATAAACTCCCATTTGGCTGAACAGGAGACCAGATTTTCCTCCGAGGGATTACTGGACTCTTTTTATATGTGCTCGTGTCATGGTAATGTCCTACATGATCGTCTCTTGTTGAGAGGAGCCCGTCTGTGTCCCGTGGATCACAGTTTGTTTACTCACCCGAGGAGGGTTTGAATGAAGTGTGCGGCGGAAGGAGGAAACATGTCGAAGGGACAATTCAGTCACCTGTTGAGGGGAGTCTGCATGCTTTGGATGTGGCAAGGTGAGTTCAGCCTCCGTCTGCAGGATGATGTGTGTGTGTGTGTGTGTGTGTGTCTCTCAGCTGCCTTTCTGAATATATAGTTTTAATTATTATGACCATAATTGCAAAGATTTCTTTCAAGTAATTTTTGCCAAAAGTTCAATTAAATAAAACTAATAATTTCAAAGACTCTCACACTTATGATGGTTTCCCAAACCACGGGGCCTATTGATCCCAAAAGGTGTGTATCCTTAAGTAAGGAACTAACTAAGAAGTTAACAGAGTGCAGCAGATTTCTGCCCGTAAGCCAAAGCTTCTCCAGTGTGAAAAGGAAAAAAAAACGAGATAAACGCTCTCTCACGTGATAAATCAGCTGAACCTTTAGCTGGGATTTAGTTTAAAGAACACATGGCAGGGACACGGAGACAAAGAAAAGAGATGAGATCATAACAGACAAAGTAATTACGAGGAAGTTATTATGTCATTTGTCACAAGTCAAATGATTTGCAGAGTTCAACATGTGGGATCGGCCCTTTGAAAAATAAAAACACCACCTTCGCTGACGTTCCGCCTGTGAATGGCCGGTCTGTGTTCGCTCTCTCCTCATCTGTGTATCTTCAAAGCGGCAGTCGGCTCTGTGGGGACGTCGGAGGAGCCTTTAAAGAAGAGCTCCGGCTGTTGCCTTTTTTGACAATGGTTCCGCTCGGAGCGGGAAAGCGTGGCCCTGGAACTAATGTCGCCATTATGGTAATGGTTAGAATAACAGGGCCGAGCCATTACCGACTTCACCTCGGGCTGCCGGGCGCAGCCAACTGTCCAGCCGTCGCCGCGGCCTCAATTGTGGAGCGGCAGCATTTTGGCCATCAGGGCTGGTTAAGGTGATGAGCGGACAGGTGGGGGGGCATCTGCTCAGTTATCACCCAGAAAACACTCCCCCCTCGTCCCTCCCTGCGTCCTTCCTGAGCAGATGGCAGAGGGGAGCGGAGGAGTTCTTCACAGCAAACAGAGCAGAGGATCGGTGAATTAAAGGAGGGTGGAAAGTGGATTGTTTTTTTAATTCAGATCACCACTTTGTTTTACCCCATGTTGATCATATTTAAACCTTGGATGCATTTGTTCACGCAATAATCCCATTGCAGCTGGACATCCTCCCAGTATGTGAAACAGCCACTGACCGGATCTCCCTGAACTTTTCTCCCGAGCTTTCGGGTGAAGGTGAAACCGATGCGACGTCAGCTCAAAGACATCACTGGACCGTCAGCTTCTCTTCGCCTGCTATCTGTCTAAAAGCACAAACGGTAAAGCAGGTGGAAATCTGAGAAAATGGTGGATGTGTTGGCCTGATGTGGCAGCTGTTTCACTCAAGGTGAAGGCGGGAGACGCCGCAGGAGGACGTGTGTGTGTGCTGCTGCTTTTGCAAACAGGAGCCAGAGATCAAAAACCGCGGCTGAACCGGCCGCAGCGTCCGCTGGGCAAACCTCTGTAGATCCCTTCTCTAAATAAACGAGGCCGCTGGATTATCCAGCTTACGCGGTGATGAAAAGACAACAGCGTCCGTCCATGAGCGAGCTGCTCCGGGAAGAGAGGGAGACCCCTGGTCGGGGGGGAGACCGCTATGAGATACTGGGGTTAAAGCCCAAAAAATAGAATGGGGGGACTCGGGGTTAGAATAACACAACAGACCTCGTGTTCTTTGAAAGACTTCTAAATCAACCTGACCTTCGCCTGACTTTTGGCGACAGAGGAGGAGGGGGAAGGAGACAGAGAGGACTAGCGTTCTGCAGCAAGTGGAGTTTCCTTCGGTAGTACCTTGGTAGCTGTCAGCAGAGAAACGTCTTTATGGCACAATGCACAAAACATTCTTCTTTTTTTGCTTTAGATGTGTGTGCGTTTTAACGTTTTCCCCCCTAAACTTCATCTAAAAAATGCTATTTGGTAAATGTTCCACCGGTCAATGTATTCCGCATCACTGCAAGTTGTACTTTGTGTTGTTTTGGTGGTCTCAGACGTCCGGCGATGTGTCTCACGTTGTGATCCAGTGATCCATTTTGTATTGGAATCCACTTTCCTTTCAATTCTTAACTTTTCTCAGACAGCATAAAAAACAGCATAGTGAAAAATGACTTCTACTAAAAGTTTGCTGGAGGGTTGATATGAATTTCTATCGCTGTCAGAACTACTGCCAGTCGGGTGATTACCCTCCATAAAAAGGAGATGCTCCCACAGTTAAAATGACTGACTTATTATTATATCGTGTATTCTTAGCTGCCATCAGCAGCTTTGCCTGCATGTGCACGATGAATCTTGACATGTGGAGCATCTCAAAGGCTCCTTTGACGGAGAAAGTTTAGCAACAAAAGTAAAAAGTAATGATACCGTGTCTCAGAGGAAACAATGCATCAATATTCAACTATATAACTTGACGAGGGGCTGCAGAGAGCCCTTCTAAGGGGTTACGAGCCAACTAAAATTGGGAATCCCTGTCTTATGAAAACTAAGATCCAAAATCTGGAGGACCGATCAGCAACTGAAGAAGCAGCTGCAGACAGTGAAAGACGTGCTCCAGTTCCTAAATATGTCGAACGAGCCGGATCTCTCAGCTACTGTTGCAGAAAAAACCCTCAAACGCGCCCCACTAATCTTGTCATTCCGACTCACGAGGAAGCCTCACCCCATCCTCCTCTAACCTCCTCCTCAACCTCACCAACTTCACTCACCTCATCAGCCACCGACAGAAACGCTGAGAAAAAAATAAACGAGACAGAGAAACAAAAGAGAAGGGTGGAATCTGAAATCCATCCAGGAGAAATGAGCCGTAAACATACTGGCTTTTTCATCAGCGGAGGGGCAGCTGTAATCAGTGCAGGGGGGAGGTGGGCCAGCGGGGCAACGGGCACTTCGGGGACAGTTTGGAGGGTTTTGTCCTGCAGCACTGAGGCAAAGAGAGATGAGAAAGTGCCTTCACGGGACGCTGGGGGTTCCCACACTGCAAGTGAGGCGAGGATGCAGAAGAAAAAAAAAGAGTAGGAAACCCATAAACTACTGGAACATGGAGGAACCGGCCCAGTTGGGCCATCACTTCAATGCACCGCATTGTTTTTTTCTTTCACCTTAAAATGCCTCCGCTTTGTCAGGTTGATTGATTCTCCAATGGAAGCCTCGATAGAAGCGGCTGTGAGCCAGACAAAGGTTTCTCTCTCTCTAATGAAGAGAGGCACATGGGTTGACTCAAACGTCAAGCGCTGGATTCCTCCTGCGAGGCCTGAATCCCACTGCAGGGATCCGGTTCTTGTTTTTCCAGGAAAGCTCCAAATAAAGAAGTACATAAAACTATATTTTCACATGAGGCACGAGAGAGGAGAGCGAAAGGCCGCCAAACTGTAATCACAAATGCAAACAAACAAATAGAGTGCAGCCTGGAGGTCCTTTATAAATGGTATCCCTTCTGCAGTGTACTGTAAATCAATGTGTGCAGTGTGTGAATACGTGTGTGTGCGTGTGTGTGTGTGTGTGTGTGTGTGTGTGTGTGTGTGTGTGTGGAAACAGGATAAATATAGGAGCTAAAAGACAGGTAGATTACTTTGGCCGCCCATCAATCGTCTGAATTGAGGGCCGGCGGCCAAGTCGGTGGCGAATGACGGACTGACTGTACCAGACCACACGCAGGTCCGCAGGCCGTGTCGGCGCTGACCCTTGTGGGAGAGAACGTAACACTCGTGTGGGGACTGGAGGAGAGGCGTCTCTCTTCATATGTAATTGAATATCTGAAGTGTGTTGTTGAGCTGAACTCAAGCTCTTTGAATAAGGCCTTCACACAAACGTACTGGTCCATCTCGCCGTCAGGTCAACATGTTAATAGCCTTGAATGATCCAACACAACCTGTCACTGTGTGTTGTTATAGCAACCTGATTGTCATATGTGCATCAATGGTTGTATAATGATATTTCTATGATATATATGATATAAAACAACAAGTAGGGCCAATAGGAGCCTTTAAACCGACTTTTTCTTGTGTTAATGCGATTAAACACCACAATTATAATAAACAGAATTTTGTTAATGTTTATTTTGAGCAGTGCAGTTGTGTCGTTAGGCTTAGTTTGAACTAAGCGTGCCTCATAAACTGCCATGCGAGCGTGTAATCAAAAATGGAACTTTTTCAGTTTTACAGTGTGTTTTATTGGTAAAAAGACATCAAACCCTTTCTCTGAAAGATGCACCATATTATGACAGCGAGTTCCATACCACATCATTAAGGAGGTTTTATGGGCTGAACAATACATCAGGGAGAGTCATTCACGAGTAAAATGAATAACATCTGACTGATGTGTAGGAAGTGAAAACAACTAAATCCGTCCCCCGTCTCCCCCAAAGAGATCCGTGGGTTGGATATTATCACTACAACATCGCCTTACTTGTGTTTGGAACAGGCTCTTTTGTAGAGGAATACTTAAAGAGCTCTGCTTTTATGAGTCCTCTTTAACTAAACGCAACCATATGTCCAACTGGAAGACGACCCAAGAGGGAGGAAAGGGGCTGAATGACAAGCGACCTCCGCAAACACTATCGGGAAAAAAACGTTTTGGCAAAAGCAGCAACGCAAATGGCTCCACAACCTGCGCCTCTCGCCTCTCTGTCCGCGTCTGTCGACATGCGGCGACGTGTTTTCTCGGCTGATAACACGGAACGGGCCGATTGGGACGAGAGGCGGTGGAAATGAATTGATCCTGATTAGTGTTTCTGCTCCCGTGGGAGCGCAGCTGGGTTCCCGTTGACCGGGTTCCCTCGCCAGCTGCGGTGACATGGAGCAGAAACAAACACATCAATGTGTGTGTGTGTGTGTGGGGGGGGTATTTCAAACATGTTTCAGTGCCTCGTACAGTAATAAGACGTATTAATCATATCAGCAAATTTGACAGGAAGCCTGAAGAAGGAGAAATTGAGTTTAAATCTGGTTTTGTGGTCTGTGACTTTATAGTTGTGTGTGTGTGTGTGTGTGTGTGCGTGCGTGTGTGTGTGTCAGGTGGAAGGCAGGGGAATGACTGCGCTGCACACATGGTCTGTGGTCGGGGTCAGCATGTGGGAAGCATTCCGGGAGCGAGGGGAACAAAACAATATCCGGCCTCTGACGCTAACAAGGTTTTACAAAACGCCAAATCAGTCCGCCGCCATCTTGGAGCCTTTTACACACACACGCGCGAAAAAGAAAAACGCTCGCACGCTTTCCATTGAAATTCCCTCATTTTCCTCCATCCGCGTCAGTTGTGAGAAAACGCACATATTTGTGGCCTCAGCAGCAAACTCCCAGAACCAACTGGAGGCTCAACAGGTGATGTTCTCCCCAAGTGCATCTAAAGTCAAACACCAGGGAAGTGGAGGGAGATTAACTCCCATAAAACTGTCTTCCACAGATGAGCTCCAGGAAAGCTGAGAAAGTGAGAGTGAAAATGCCAGAGGTATGAGGATAACGGGGAGCAGATTAATATCGCCCTCATATTTGTCTTTTAAATGCGTACTTGTGCTTATGTAAGCATAAAGACTGCAAAGCCAAACCCGCTCTGTCACGAGTTAACCTCTAAAGCTTACTATTTCACGCGCCATTTGTTTAATCCGTACAAAAAGTGCACAGGTTAACTCAAGATTTTGCCCTCAACAACAGAGCGAGGGGAGCAGTGTAAAAAACAAGAGGTCAGAAAGAAAACAGGACACGGCGGCGTCTGCAAGAACTCATCCCCCTTTCGCTTTTTGACATTTGTTTTGGGAGGATGAAACCGAAGCCATAATTTCACTCACATTGCACAGGCGAACCCCCGGAGGTGCAATCACACAATCCTCTTCGTCTCAACTGAAGCCAGATCGCAGCGTCGCCGTGTCGACATCACGCTTCCCTGCGCAGCTGCTGCGCAAAGGATTGTGTGATGATGTCAGATCAATAAATGTTACTGAGGGAATATTGCTATTTTTCGATTAACTTGAGTGTCAGTGTAGGGGGAAACTAAAGTGAGAACATTCCTAATATGTGTTTTTTTTTATTCATATTATCAAAAGATTTGCTTCCCTCGGCCGTTTGATTTAGTTCGATGGAAAAAATGCACACATAAAAAAAGAGCGCACGCTTCTGCACAAACACACACCTCCTGCCTCCAAGCAAACCCAGAAAAAACAAGGCCTGTGTGTTGCAGCTGCAGGCGGATTGGAGTGACAGGCCTAAACTGTCTGCAGCGTGGCCAACGTCCAGATTCACAGCTACGTATGGCTTCTATAGCACGCGCTCACCCCTCATTACATGGAAAATTTACCAAAATTGCAGCCCTGGAACCGCCTGCAGTGTGTTAAGATGTAACAGGGAGAAGATGTGAATATTCCCACATGGCTAATATCAGTTTCCTTTCTTGTCCAGCCGTTGGTAATCTACGATTATCTCCTATCCTACATGCACCCTAAATCAGCTTGGGAAATCTAAATGAAGTGTGAACGGCGTCTCTGTTTTCACCTGATTGGATCATGTTTACTCACTGTTCTCTCACCTCCCCGTCCTCCGTAGCTGTGTTTGTGAATGGGACGGAGAGCAAGCTATGGGAGGTGCCCACGGCCTCCTTCACTTCCTCCGCCAACCTCAGTGAGAGCCTGTGGGAGCAGGACTGCCAGCACAGCCATCTGCAGGAAGGAGCGAGAATCACAGCGGACACGCCGCCAAGACTGGACGGCACGTGGGTGTCAACGAGGTGAGTTCTGCTTCATCCTTTACCCAGGGTCCATAGGACCGTAGTCACATACGTAACGTTCGTTTTAAGTTGTTGTTGCCATGAAGTTCCCAAGCAGGGGTTAACGGTGGTTTGTTAGTGAATCGTTTCTGCCTTAAAAGTTACTCAAATTGACTAAATGTGAACTAAAGCAGATGTCACCAGATTTGTAGGCCTGAGATGTGGGCTTTGGTTATATTTGAATCACAGAAATGCGGAATTTAGACTTTGGGTTCAATGTTGGAAGCACAATTTAAAAAGAAAACTTGTACATTGAAAGCAGCTATAATAAAAAAAACGTCTATCATTAATAGATGACATCCCTACTTGAGTTGTTCAGAAAGACACTTTTTAGATTTCGGTTAGATTAACAGCTTTGAAAGTAAAATATAAATATGTGTAGCTCTGTCCTTTTGCCGGCCTTTGCCAAACATCATCCGGGATCAGCTCCAGCTCGACTCCCATCGGATGAAGCAGAAATGGATATTGGATGGATGGATTTCTGCTTATGAAGACTTTTAACTCGACTTGAGTCTCCACTGAATAGAAAGACAGCTCAGGATCACGCGGCAGCAAATGAATCTCCGCTCACTTCTGTCTGAAATCCAATCATAACGCCATCAATCACCAAAACGTACTTAATCCTCGTGTGTAGGTGTGAAGTTCGGCCCGGTCCAGAGTTCCTCACCCGCTCTTACACATTCCACGCCAGCCGTCACTTCCAGGCCCTGCAGCACTATTACAAAGACAGCGGCTGCGAGGACCCGGCCTACTCCCTGATGATCAGGGGCAAGCTTCGCCTGCGCCAGGCCTCCTGGATCACCCGCGGCGCCACCGAAGCTGAACACCACCTCAGCAAGGTGAGTGTCGTGGTCCACAGCCTGGCGGCCAAGCAGAGGCTGGCCTCCATGCTGCCCTCCACCTGCGTGGGTCTGACCCTGGGCCGGGTGGTGCCGGGGAAGCCGCTGGAGCTGTACAACACCCGGGCGGGGAGGGGATGTCTGGAAGCGCTGGGCTTCTCCATGATGGAGATGGGGCTGATCCGGGTGGAGACGCGGCACCACGGCCACGGAGGGAAGGTCCAGGAGCTGCTCCTGGGGGACGTTCACACTGACTGGACACAGAGGACTCAGTACCGACCTACAGGGTACCAGCAGCCACTGCAGAACGCCATGGTGAGACGCGGCTGTGTTTTTATTCGACAGAGCTGAACTGGTGCCGCTAACATCTCGTACCGTTGAGCACCTCAACAACAAAGCCGGCAGGGTTTCAGCGCCTTGCCCAAGAGCACTTTAGCCGTGTCAGCCCAACTTTAAATTCAGGGGGTTTGGAAAATGTTCAGCCTTCCTCGAAAAAGGTCCGTTTAGCTGTTGAGAAAGAGTTTTGGAAATAGCTAAATATTTTCTGGTTCCAGCACCTAAAACGTGATGTTTTATCTGCATTTTCAACAGTTCAAATTTCGAAAACATTCATTTTTGTCTGAAACCATCAAATGTTTGCCGTTTTTGATAAAAAAAACACACACAATTAGATTATTCATGCTGATACATTTTCTAAAGGTTGATCAACTAATCGCATCTACTAAAAAACTGTTGACTGTTGACTGGATGCAGCTCGGAATCAACTGTTCTCACCCCACCTTGTCTCTGTGCAGCATCACACCCACCCCTGCCCCGTGTGCGCCCTGGTGTACCGCTCCTCAGAGCAGCGCCCCCCGGTGTTGCCCCGGCGCACAGCAGCTCCTTTGTCTCTGACCGGCAGCTGGGTCAGCGGCCGCTGCGAGACCCGTCCCAACGTCCTCTTCCTCACCCGCGACTTCACCTTCGATCCCGACCAGCACGCGTGGCAGGGGGTCTACCGGCACTACTCGGACCCCGTCTGCTCTCAGCCCACCTTCACCCTGAGGGCCTCGGGCCACTACGCTCAGGGAAACCCCTCCGCCAAGGTCTCCGGAGCCACCGAGTTCGTCTTCAAGGTCACCCGGGTGGGAGTCACGGCTCTGGACGGGCCCACGGCGGCGTTGCTGAACGGGACGAGGCCCGGAAAGTGTGGCCGTGCAGGAGGTTGGAAGGTCGGTGTGGAGCAAGACTTGACCCCCACGGATGGATGCACCCCGCTGGGCGTCAAGCTGCCACATAAGGAGTACGAGCTCTTCAAGACAGAGCTGGACCACAGGAAACACCCGCTGCTGTTCGTCGGAGAGAGGCCGACTGACGGGTACAGTCCAGACCGACCCGAGAGGAGGCCCACGTCCTTTCAGGCTCCCATGTGGCTTTGCCGTGACGGCGATACCCAGCCTTCACGTCGCTATGGCTCGGTCTTCAAGAGCAAGCAGGTGCAGACAGCAGCCAGCGGGACAGAGAGACTGGCCCAGCTGGCGTTGCTGGTGCTGGGATCTGTGCTGTGCAGCTGGTTCTGGGTTTATTAGGGACACTGTTTGCAAATCAAGTCTGTTTTTTCAGTCATTGATGGACAGTGTTTTATGGCAGATTTCCTTCACTTATCCTCCATATGGTGATGACCAACATGTGTGACGGTCAGGAAAAGTCATGAGACACTCGGGAGAGCCGACATGTCTGGCTTTCAAACGCTGCCTGTAGGTTCACTTTAATGACTCTAAACCCCAGCTGCATTTCCACTTAGAAATATTCTGTATATAAACCACCAATATATACAAATGTCATCATTTGAGTATGTAAAGCTATATTCTTTTACACGTCTTGTTTTTGTATAACGAACGGATTGATTTTTTTTGTCACATGGTTGCTTCAAAGCAAGATCACAGTGTTGAAGTGGTGATCGGTTGTTTCCACAGCGAACTGAAAGCCATAAACTTTCCAGCAGACTACACACCAGAACTAATTTTAATCCCAGATGCAGTATAACTAATGCACTTTGTACAGAACATTGTTTTCTCAACATGCAGGAGAGAAAAGCTGGGAAGTGGAAAATTTGTAATCAGCATTAATAGCTGCCATCCTCATTGGTCCAACACCCCTGTGGAGTGAAATGCTGCTTTATCTCTTCTGTAAAAGCTTCTGTATTAGTCGGCTTTTCTAGCAGCAGTGGATCTAAACAGTCAAAGGAATATTTATTTTAACCATTTATACTGTATTTTTTGATATGAGGAAGAGTTTGGTTCAATATTTTGGTTAGTTTCGCAATTTAAAAAGTGATTATTTCTTATTATTGTATGTGTATTAAAAATGTTTTTCATAACGTTTTGTGTTCAATTAGTAAAAACAGGAGTCCACGGTCATGCTACCGATTAAGCGCTACATCATAATGCTAACCTGCTTTTTATTAATCACAATGCAATCCCACGGATGGCTAGCAGGTGTATCTTTAGCATACTCATCCATTTAGTTTTGAGTGTCGGCATGCACCTCTCTCTAATTAGCAAACAAAAAGCCTGGTTAAACTGACTTTTTAAGGTATTTATTAAAAAACTAAAATATGGAAATATGATAAATGGACTATTGTATTTGATCCTGAGAGTAATAATCAATAGCAAAGTCTGAACCAAATGGGGATCCATTAAATAGCACTTGAGATTTGTCAGCCAAAAGCCCAATCGCTCAACCTCATGCAGCGGTAATAAAATTCAGAGGATCACCAGTGGAATTCATGAATGTGGGAGTTTGTGTGTGTGTGTGTGTGTGTGTGTGTGTGTGTGTGTGTGTGTGTGTGTGTGTGTGTGTGTGTGTGTGTGAGAGTGTGCCATTTGATAAATAACTGTCATATGGTTCACACATTACACAAGGAATTCCAGTGCAGGGCCGGAGGCTGAGAATACACAGACGGATATCAAACTGGATGCTCTGTGTTTCATGAGAATAAACAGCTCTCAGCCCAAAAAATAAAAATAAAAATAGAATACGCTGTCGCTCTGATGATACATGTCAGAGAGGCACAGCAGTAAAGAGACAAGCGAGGAACGTAGCTCTAGATGTCCAGTGTTATGACTGAAGCAAATGAAGCATTTACAGAACTTTGAGCTGAAACAAACACAGTTATAATCCTATGTGTGTTATGTAGTATAAAAGAGTATTGATTTTAGTTAAAAACAATTAAAACCATCTTTTCAGGGGCTGCAAGTGATTTTACAGAATTTAGCATTGAAGCTTGCCAACTGCCTAACTTTAAACTGAGTAAATAAATAAAATACTCAAATTAATGTTCAAATAGAGACAGAAAGGGAACGAAAGAGGGGGAAGAAGTCGTTTCCAGAGGCTACATACTGTTCCTATTAACTCCTGTGAGAATGGTGATGGCAGCTGTGAGCCCCATGAGGTCATTCTGCAGGCCTGGATGGAGACTTCAGATCTGTACCTCCTCAAGCCAAGACAAAATGAACACAAGCTGAGACAAAGAATAACTGAGTGTGGAAGAGTGGCATTTATTTGTTCTATGTGGAAGCAGATCTGTCATTAAATGGAGAACCAGTGAATCCAGCAACCAGTTCTGGTTGCTGGCCGGGCCGGGCCGACCGGTTAGCAATCAGGCCTGGTGGCTTATTGAATGCATCCACTGAAGTAAAAAAAAAAAAAGGCATATAGCTACATTTTCTTTATTTAATTTGAAAATTGTAAAAAGGAAGTACACTTCAATGCAGGATGGGGTTGTTTGTCTTTAAATCACCGTCACTATCTAAAATATAGATTTCTGTGAATAGAAGAGAAGAATAGTAACATCATTTTTTTATCAATCAAGATCAATTATATTTGTGTATTAGCCAATAATCGCACAGGATGAGACTGTATGGGGAACACTCGTGGGAAATTGAATAAACGCTAGGTTTAAACTGGATTTGCTAAATTGCAGATAATTAATACGTCCATGGCTTCAGTTGAGAACAACTAAGACAACCTGTTTTAAGAGTTAATGGTAACTGCAGGGGGCAAATGCGATGTTCATTAATAGTATAGCAATTCGCTAATTAGCTATTAACATGCTTGGGACATGAGCATAGCGCTCAGTGTGGTAGCAGTCCATATTACAAAGTATTGGTAAGTTAGTGAATTTTTTTCTACTGTAACCATTATATGGACTATTATATCTACAAATTATATGTACACTACATCGATATGTATGTCCAGTATTGCATTACTGCCCAATTAATTTTACTTTACCGTGGGACGAAGTGGCCAGAAATACTGCCACGGTTATGTCAGTTCAATCAAAGAGGAAAGTACTTATGTAGTTTTCTCTAAACTAGGACCATAAAATAGCCAACCTCTTCATATGACTTTAGCAAGAATGTTCCTATATACAGTAGAAAAAAAGAAAGAAAACTAAACAAGCCTTAAGGAGTTTCCTTTCAGCTAAACTGAATTTCCAAACCACAAACAATTTGGTGGTTTCGTCTGACAAATGTTCCGGTAAAAGAAGGACACTGTGCTGCTTGTGGTTATAGAAATAGAGGACTGGTCCCGTCTTCTGCCTTCCCATAAAGATATACGCAGCTAATGCAGACACACACACACACACACACACACACACACACACACACACACACACACACATCGTTGATATGAAATCACTGCAGCAGTACGGGGGACTTTCAACCTCTCTCACTCAACAAATGTCAGGCTCCGTTGAGAAAATCCCATTATTACCATGAGAATATGAGCTACAGCCGCCCCATAGACGATAACATCAGACTAACCTTGGCTGGCTCAGTTGAAACGAATTTATATTGAAATGTGTGTCCTGTTTGCTCTGAGACAAGTGAACAAAGCTGCTCCACAGAGCGTCAGCACCAAGCAGCAAATGCACGACTTTCCTGCTTCATCTCGTGCCAAACAGAAAAAACAGGCTTCTTTCTTTCATGACCTCATTATACACTAACTATTAAAAAGAGATTCAACCCCTAATTTAATCTGAATGATTGTTTTGCATAAAAATGTCTCACACTGATTATACTAATTCTTCTTATTCTTATAAAGCCGATGATGGTGATAATTGTTCTCACAGTGAATGGCATCTATTTTCCCTTATGAAAAAAGTGCTTTTGCCCTCACAACATGTTTTATTGGGTTAAAGGAAGCCTTTGTCATTACTTAAGGACGCAACGGATCCCAGAAAAAATATATTTTGCCACAAATAAAAACATATCAGATGAACAGGGTTCTCCACTATCCAATATGAGACAACTTCTTCAACATATTTCTTGCCTTTTGGACTGAAGCATTCCCCTAAGAGTCATCTGTCAAATCTGGTGGCCTGTTAGACAAGGTCATGTTTCTGTTCTAAGGTTACGATCACACAAATGATTGAAAGGGGTTTTCTGCCACAGGGCTGATTCTTCCAGAATGCACCCATCCGCTGCCAGTTGTCCAGCCTCCAACCTTTTTGGCAAGCTGCAGGTCCTTCTCAAACCGTTATGGCCAAAAAAAAACGTACAGGGACTTCCAGTATGTAAGAAATTTGCATGAAATTTGATTTATCGGTGAGCCAAACAGTATTTTGTTTCATTGGAAAATAAATTAAGGGCATATAAACGTGCCAAATATGTAAAAACTGTTGATGAAGCAGGAGATGGATTCATTTCACAGAGCATTTTAACTACAGTGAAAAATCACATTGCCAAAAGCAAATATTGCGAGAGTTGTGCTGATGCTTAATTAAATCTTTTATATGTCGTTCCAACATTGAAGCGCAGCCATACATCGGGTTTATTGTACAGACCTCATTGAAGACCAGAACCTCTGAAATAGGCCGAGTGGTTAAAGATCAAAGTATCTGGATAGAGGATAAAACCAACCCGTGGCTTACAAAAGTCCTCCAGCATCAGGGTCAGGGATGAAAAAAACCCAAACACCAGTTTATTATAAGGTCAAGGAAAGGTCAATTAGTTCATCAATATTTCATCTCAGTCTCATCTAAGCAGTTTAGCTCGTATTGTTGTATTATCTTTACAGCTCATCAGCTTAGCTCTAAAATATCTAAAAAAGAACCATGTTGGCATTTCTTTTTTAACAGGAATCTTCCAAGAGCTTGCAGATGTAAAACATAAAAATAAGATTATGTGTATTATCACATTTTGTATTCAGTTTTCAGTGTTGTAGTAGAAGTTTGTTCCATGTGAGTCCTAAAAGAGAAACAGACACTTTTGAAGGTCTAATTCACCCCAAATATTTCTCCTTCCTTAGCCTTTTTTGTTCATGCATTCCTGAAGCTTGTAATGTTTCCTTATTTGATGAAATAATACTGCTTTATGGTCATTTGAGTGTTAATTTATCATCAATTTTGTTTTAGTCTCTGACTGCAGCAGCAGAAGGGTTCTTTCATTTCCTTGCAGCTAAATATTGGAAACTAGTTCTCCCACTGCAATTTACTCCAAGTGGTCACAACTAACAAGCCAGATGGTTGGAAGAATTTTTCATGGTTCTGGAAATGCATTCAGAAGAGCGTCAGTAGTTAGAAGACCTTATTGGTTTTTTTCGGACATAGCTGCGTGTATATGTGAGGGGAACTGATGCTTACCTCTGTGACTTGAATGAAATACTAATATGCTGTGGCTTTGTTGGATCGGGCCTCAACAGGTTTTTTAAATGTTTGCGTGCTCGAAGGACTCTGATGTCCTCAGACAACGGCCACTGCCAAGACGTGATCCGGTCCTGAAACCTCACCCGGTAAATCACTTTAACATCTCATTGACGAGTGATAATTGTCTCAAAAGACTGCTTGAGTTTATACGTTGTTTCTTTTTTCGCTGAGTGCTGCATATGTGATATGAAGTTCTAAATCCAGAGCGAACAGCGTAGAGTCCGGCTCAAGTTCTGTCAGGAGAGGCAGTCTCAGCCTGGCAACTGTAGGTGTAGAAGTTTGAGAGTTTTGTTTCCATCGTATAAAAATACCCATAGAAGATGCCAGCTAACGTTTTTCTTAAGCCCCGCCCCCCCAGGCCTTGATCCCGCCTTGTTTTGACTCTTGTCACATGATCTGAGGCAGGAAAATACCTGGATTCAGCTGTTGGACCTTATAATTTAAAAAAAGGGATGTTTGTGTGTCTGTACTCATTAAATTAATAATAGTAATTTACAGGTTATTAGGATAGTGTCTGTGTTTTGTACCATAATTCTTATGGCCACCTTTTTTTTGTCAAATAAAAACATGGTTTGTGTTATACGGAGTAAACATGTGCAAACGTGTCTGTATAAAATGACTTCACACAGTTTGGTAGGGGCTTTATTCATTTAATTTATTAAGATGCTACATAGTCCAACCAGGTTGGGTTGTTTTTATACACCAGAGAGACTACTTGAACTAGGAATATTAATATTCTTCTCAGATAGACGTATTTATTTATTTATATACATACAAAACAGTTTGCAGACTGCTTACATAGATCACGGTGATGGTCAGTGTAGTGTGTTTTATAACTAGGCCTGAATCGATTAGTATTCCAATGTAATTGCTATGGTTTGTTTGAGCCTGCTTGGAGTACCACATTAGGACTGTGGTGAATTAATAATCAGTATGTTCTGATACTTTGGAATATTCTTTCATGTAAAAAGTCTCTGATACGCCAATCAGGACTCATGGGACAAGAACAACCTCCTGGCAGCACTACATGACCCCGGTCTGATGACCCCAGCGTGGACTGAAGGTCAGTTCTCACCCTAAGCAGCAAGTCATCCTCAATCAACCACTTTACAGAGATACAGTAGAAACACAAGCTCATGTATATTTTAATATCTCGCCCCCCCCAGTCATGTCCTTCATCTTCCCCTCCACTGAACATGAAGCGGTGTTGGAACTAAGATGTTTCTTGCGGTGTAACAATGGATAATGCACTCCTGCATCTTATGTCGATATAGTGGGATACAAATCTGCTCATTTTCCTTCAAATATTGCAAAGCAGAATAATAACGAGAACGATTAAATGGCTCTGATTCGGATTCTCTACGCTGCTATTTTACCCCTCATGCAAATTTGGAGATGAAACAATGTTTTTATTTATTTCAGACCAAAAGAATAACCATCAGCTCTGGAACAGTACAATGTCATCGTGTGGTCCCCTTCAGGATATAAAGCGGTTTGTGTGTAGTTCACAAGGCCAGCTTTTCATCTGGATAACATTTACAGAAATGATCTAATCCTACAAATCTGGAGCCGGTTTCTTTTATTCCTAAATGCTTCAACCCTCGAATAGAAAAATATGACTTCAAATCATTGAAATGCAACAATAGAGAAAGAAAACTGAAGATGTAGTTGGGCAAACCTACAGCCAAATGACATAATATTATTGCCAATATAATCGCATTAAATTAGATTCAAACCATCCGTGTGTGTGTTTGTGTGTGTGTGTGTGTGTGTGTGTGTGTGAACGCATGCAATCAAACATTCCCCTCTCTGACAACTGGGGACGCGGTGAGCACTGAGTGACAGGTGACAGGTGAAAAAGGTAAGAGTGAAAATAAAAACAACACAAGGAAAGAAAAAACATACGGTGTAGTGTTTCATACACTGATCAAGGTTGTTCTACGATCAGAGACAATATGATTTTTACAAAGCCTACAACGTCAATCAGCTTGGTGGCCCTGTGTGGATTATAACTGTGGTAAATTCCTTCCTTAAAGGGAGTTTAACTGGAAGGAACACCTGGTTATACTGTGTACGTGTGTGTGCGTGTGCCTGTGCGGGCGGGGGCAGGCTACGCTCATGTATTACGTATACCTGAGCGTAGGCTTAGAAAAAGAAACAATACAGTAAAATGAAGTTGACAGGATTGCAAACTGACTCTGTCGCACCAACACTACATTACCGCCGGTGTTATATAATTGGTCTGGATCACTGGCTTTAAATTGAGTTTCCGTTAACACCCCCCACCCTCCAGTAATCTGGGCACATGAAACTTTGGGGAAAAAGGGCCAGAATTATTATGTGGTGATTAAGTAGAACAAGACCAGTAATGATGAATTAATTCTTTTTTTTCTCTTTCATCTCCTCATACATTACCATTGTTTTTTGTTTTGTTTTTTTCATTAATGAGACTGAATCAAAACTAGTACCAGCCCTCTCACCCGGCGGATATGGCATCCCTGACCCCGTGCTCGTTCTCAACCCCCCCAAAAGCATGCTGCGGCACCACCGGACTGCGCTGCCGTCTACAACACCAACTTGCCCACGATGACGCCCACCACGAAGAAGAGCACGATGAGGGCCATCGTGCGGACGCTCCACCCCTCATCTTTCTTCATGCCGAGTGAGGAGTGCTGAGGTGACATCACGTTGCTCTTCCTCATCCGCATACCATCGTCCTCCTGAAGCGGGGGGACGGAGGCAGAAAAACAAGGGTGGGCGGTGAGTGAAACGGAGAGAAAAAGAAGAGCCAATCATCCTGTCGATCGGTCGGTGAGATAAGACTATTCATCTACAAGCTCGAGGGAATAGGATCGGCTTAAATCTTCATCTGACCCAATCCTCAGAGGACCGCAGGAGGCGCCAAGATTGTAACACCCTCCATTTCCCACCACCGGGTGGGGAGTTGTTTTTTTTATGTGTGGGGGGGGGGGGCGCGTTGGGGGGGCTCTCTGTTAGTTTAATCTCAATTGCAGGAGCAGCCAACAGTCGTTCTGTCTCCGGCGAGAACTTTAAGTGGATGAGGTGGCGGCGAAGTTTGACTTTCTCCGAGCCGTATGTGGTGTGTGTGTGTGTGTGTGTGTGTGTGTGTGTGTGTGCACGGCACTCATTTCCCAAAAAAAAAACTATTTAACCTCACTTCACTGAGCGTTGTGATGGATGAAAAACTCATTGATTTGCTAAATTGCTTTACGAGCCAGGGGCCGAGGCCTGCCACAGATTACGGATCCGATCGATTGCACTCAATGCAAACCTCAATCTGGAGGCTCCACTGAAAGAAACAGGGGAGGGCTTGTTTGGAACCAACACTTTGTGTGAATCAAATGTTCACTTGATGTTCACTTTATCTTGACTGAGGGAGTTTCGTTGGGTAAGCTGAACTCTTTCTAGTTAGTGGGGGAGTTTTGTTTATTCATTTTGGCCTTTGAGACCCTGATGACCTTGCTTCCTTGGTTTATATTATATTTGGTTATTCTGTATGTAATAAATGTGCCGGTGACTGAATCATACTAGCTTTCATCTGCTTTGTTCTTTCACCTTTGCCCACTAATGAGCCGGTGCTCGTCTATGTAACAGGAATTCCAAATAGGCCCAAACACGCTCTCTTCTGTCTCACCGCTATCCTCAAGTCGTTTCACTCACCCTGATCTGTTTGTTTTCTTCCCGTAGCCTCTGAGCCTCCATCTGCAGCCTCTTGCACTCCTCCATGATCTTCTTTACCTCGCCGTCATCGAGGGTGGAGCTCATCGACTTTGGAGGCAGCGTGGAGGACTCTGACTTCAGCAAGCCGGACGACATCTTGTTGGACTCCGCGTCATGCTGTAAGCAGGTTAACGAGGCGACAGGTTACAGCGCAACAAGACAAGTGTTTGCCGCCACAGCGTTTCCGTGGCGATCCTGACCGGTCACTTGGCCGCCACGCGCTGCGGATTTCTGTTCATGTCCTGGGACTTTTGTACATATGAACAAATCCTCCTCTTAAGCAGCCTATGTGTGCTGTGTGCATGCATCACACAGCCCAGGACTCATTGTAAACAACCAGCTGGGCTCCTTTTCCCTCCTCGGGCTCATGAAAGCAGTAGACCTGGTTCATATCATGATGGGATAATGTCTCTACAGCTGTGTGGCGCCTGAGGAGAAAACGCTACGATAATAAAGTGCATGTGGGATTGATCAAAATGGGAGCTGATGATGTGAGGGCGTGGGGAGAAAGAAGGGAAGGAAAGACGGCGAAGGAAGGTAATGAAGATTAATGCTTCAAATGTAACTACAACAAAGAGCGGGGAAAAAAGGGACAAAAGGGCGAGCGGGACGGAAAGAAGTGAGGACAGAACTGCACCCGAGCCACACCGACCGTTGAGTCCACAGAGACAACGGTTCTGCTGCCAGCTTTTACGTCTACATAGTTTGCCCTCATAATGTCCACATGCTAATAATGAAAAATACATACAAATACTTCTGCTGATGGCCAATATGTTTTTTTTCCCCAAAATAATTGCATGAAACCGTTTGAGAAATAATTTCATGTTGCGTCTTCTACATCCGATCTGAAGTGACAATGAAAGCCGACGTGAGGAGAGAAGCAGCGAGCCCACGTGCTTACCGTTTTCTCGTTCTCCACCGGCATTTCAAAAGCACACCTGAGCTTAGAGTCCATCAGCTCGTCTGGCTTTGCCTCCTTCCACTGGAAGAGTGGACCAGAAATAAAGAAAACAGGATTAATAAATGATTTGTTATTTATGAAAGGCAAAACAGACTGCTGATAATGAGTAGTCACAGGATGACAGAAAGCCAATTTATTAATTGTTTAGTTGTGTAACATGTCTGGATTTAGTACATGTACGGGATCAATGCAAAGTTGGAATGTTAGTGCCTGTGAGACCGCCCAATGGCACCAACACAAGACGGCTTTGATTAAGCGTCAGAAGACCTCCTGAGGTTTAAAGAAAATCAAAGAGAATGCAATATTTTGACAGGTATTCTTAAAACATTTACTGGCATAGGAATGATTATTTATTGTAATAGTTGACCAATGATTGTAAAAAGAACTTTGAGATTACAATCAGAGTTATAATCAGATGGCATTCATTGTCAAATTGCTCATGCAATCTGGGACATGCAGGTTAAATGCCTCTTAAAGCACCGGCAAACACTCCAACATACTGATGTTTTTTGGGAAGACGATACACTCACCACTCCCTCCATGTCGGTCATGTCAGGAGGCGCTAGCACAGACTGGACCATGAACTTGTGTTTGCTCTTCTCATTGGGGTCATAGTCGAATGGCTGCAGCATAACTGAAATACAAAAATGACGGTGGTGATCACGTGTGGAATTACTAGTATAAAGTCACTGATGACTTTCACAGTTTACACAGCAACACGTTTTAAGATGGTTGCTTTCCCTTCAGCTGACAACCAAGAATTGAGATAAACATGGAACATTTTATTCCACTTGTTTTTGTCTTCTAAACCTCATCCTCATTTCCCGTCCTCAGGAGAACGTGTCAAACAAAGTGTCTCTTTAGTTCTATCCAATGATGATTTGTGGGTAAAGATCTGCCGCCCGAATACAAAACAAACTCCAGCAATTAAGCTTTTCCATCTCTCTCCCTTCCTCGACTCGGTGTCCCCTCCTCGGATTCAGGAGGAATGTCAAAAAAAACGTGCGCCTGTCAAACAGAAAACTAGTTCCTTCACGTCTTAAAGGCTCTGCTGCTCGGAAAAAGTGATGGGGTGATTTATCTTTAATTTTGTGTTACCATGACGGCAAAACACTGACAGAACTACAAATACTACAGGGGGTAATTTCTCCAACAGCTTCCAAACCCTTTTTCTTTTCTTTCTTAACATTGCGTATCGCCGTAACAAAAAGCAGGTGTTGGGCTGGAATACGACTTTAACCCATCACCACATCAGTCCTCCACGTCAGTGGTGTGTTATTTGATGTCATTCCAATGACTGAGAAGGTATTTTAAAGCTGTAATGATGATTTACAATGATGACTTTCTTATGTCCGTATTCAAGTGCAGAGGAGATAAAACGGCTGTAGGCCGGTGATCTTTCACTCCTTTCACCTTTTTAAATGAGGGTGTAATTGAAAGGCATTTTTCTACATCAGTACCAACTGTGTCTTCAATGCCTGCGTGACTCTTGGACTCTTGCACCATTACAGCAATCAAGGCAGTTCAATATCGCAAACCAGAAACAGACGCCTTGAACAGATTGAGAACGTCCCGCTTCGGTCAGACTCAATTTGCCCTCCCATCAGCCTCAAGTCCACGGGGGACAACACCAGAGGACGGAGGCAGGAAGTATGCTCAAGGACCAGAAACGTGAAAAGGGTCCCGAGAACAAAGCCAGAGCGCGTAAAAGCACGGCCACGGGAGGGAAACAAAGTCGTTTACATCTTCACTTGAGAGGGCATCATTTACCAAACTGACGGAAGCTAATTGTGTTCAACGCGGTGGAAGCAGGATGCAATCGCCTGCCTTCTTGTTGGTGATGAATGGAACCGATTGGGGGGGTGAGGGAGGGAGGGAGGTCAGAAAAGGTTCCTTCTGTGGAGTATGAGTAATAGTGTGTGCACAAGATTTGCTACTGTAGGGACACAAGTAAGCATTTTCATTTTTAATTTAAATAGAAACCAGCTGTTTTTTTCCCCGATAAAGCCATCAAATGCTTGGTTGATAATATTTCAGAAAATGGTTCAAATGAATGTGACTGACTGACATTGGAAAAAAAGAGATTTATCTTGTTTGGAATGATTTAAAAAAAAAAAAAAGGCTGGAAGCACGAGCTTTTAATGATTAATAAAGCACTTGTTCCAGCTCTTCTCTTCATGATATCATGTTAAACGTCCTTGATACAGCAGCATTTAGTTATTCAATGAGAATTTCCTGTAGCATCCTCAATAACAAAAGCTGTATTTGACCACCTAACAAAAATAAAGACACCCCAAACTAGTAGTCACACAATCAGCTTTTGAGCCAACCGCACAATAAAAGTAAGCAAAGGCTTTGACTGGTAATGTTTGAAATGTATCTCACCAAGCCGTCCGTTTACTTAGCAGTAAGTAAACAATTGATACAAAAGATAAAATTCTTTGTTTAAGGACCAGAGATGGAAGATGAAGATAATTATGATAACGGAAAACAAAACAATGATTTTTTTATTGCGGCACGTTATTGATTTTCGCAGAAAAACTTCTGACATATTCCCCGAGGACGCTCAATATTTTTGGATCCAAGGATTTTCTTTTAATATTCCTGCCACAAATTTTTCCACTGGATGCTGCTACATCACACCGATCAACCTCAGCAGCATTCCTGTGGTCATGGCTACGGGGAACATGTACAGTTGCAGCTGGGTCGAGCTTCAGAAGCCCCGTGTGTCTCCTCCGCTGAGCCAACACATGACACATCTCCGGCTTTAGGTGTCCTGTGGCAGGCCGTTCTCTTCTGCCACGATTGCAAGTAAAACGAAGCTTTTGTTAAATATTAAAAGGCCAGAAAGTTGCAGATCCAGTTAAATCTTAAAAAAAATCCCCGAATGCGCCACCAATGACAGTGTGATGCTATTGGTTAGATAACCCATTAAGTTTATTTTATCACCATTTGACCATAAAGTAGCTTTTAAAAAAAGTGGAAAATAAACTAAAATAAAAACAAAAACACCCCGTACGTACTCCTCAGGTCTGATAATCGGGCTGAATGGATTTCCTTCTGCATAAAACAGCTGATTGACACAAGGTGGCAGGTTCGACATTACATCTCCTTGAGCTGATAATCAAACTGTTAAAAGAGTTACTGAGTGACATTCATCTTCATCTTTTGGTGCTTTTATTCAGAATAGTATCTTTACTTAGTATCTTTAGGCTGAAGCGAATGTCTGCCTTACATTCAAAGCTTCTGTGGAGATTTGCTAATAAAGCTTTGAATGGTCGTCTCATATTTTTATGAAGTCATCACCCAACAAATGGAAAAACTAGATCTTCTGGAATTTCTTACCATGATAACATAAAAATCATTTATGGTGCTGTTAGAATGCTGGGAGTCCAGCCCGTGCTTCCATCTGTGTCTGGTAAGCGAGAGACCGAACTGTTTCTTTTAAACCACAGTAAAAATGTTGTTCTTGAACGGCTAAATACCATCAATTATGGATTGAAGCAGAACATGTTGAATGTAAATGTGAATTTGGGACCAATCATTTATTGGACTATAAAACTTTCGAGTTATTGAAAATGTTATGCTATCCAGACACCATTTATAGTCTAGTTCAACAAATAATGTAAAATGAATCCAATGAATGTAGCCTGACATAGAAATAAAAAAAACAGCTGTGCTGCACTTGAATAAGCATTTGTGTGTTAAATTTAAAACCCAACATGATATCTGAGAGATTAGAAACCTCACCATCTTGTTGTCAAGTCCAACACTTCTTGAGTTTTCCCTGAAGACGGGCCGTGCCTGTGTGTTTGTGTTTAGCGATCACATTCCCAGAAGAGCAATCTCCTACAGGGACTCAAACCTCTGACCTTTCTCAACCTAATATATGGGTGTAGAAATAAACGTGCCGGGTTGTCGCCCGCTGACAGTTAAGGCCACAGTGACACAGTTGACAGTAGTTGACACCAGATAGGGGAAGTTGTAAAAGGAGTCCGTGGCCGTAAATGGCCGAGGTGGCACAGCGAGGAAACGCTGGTACCGGCCTCCCTCAGAGAACACGCCGCGGATTGAGGCCGACCAGGTGGGGACTTGGTAACGAGAGAAGAGTGATGTGTGTGTGTGTGTGTGTGTGTGTGTGTGTGTGAGTGAGTGTGAGTGAGTGAGAGAGAAAAAGAGCAAAACCGGTCAGGATACTGGAGAGATAATAGATTAGCCTAATTATTAAATCAGATTCAAATCGATACTACTAATGGTTTTGGCCACAGCACCAGCTACATGTCGACGTTGCCTGTGAGTTAACAACAACAACATTGATGGATCACTGTCTCAATCAATACCGGAGACATTGATCGAGGTCCCCGCGTCGATGATCCCGCTGTTGGGCCGCACGCAGTAGCGGCGCGGCGCTGTCGTCTTCACCTTGAAGCACACATTCCGGTCTGTGGGGTTGGAGAGCTTGAGATATGTGGTGACCACGTCTGAGAATGGACCTGTGAAGAGGGAAGACGTGGTCAAGATTTTGAAAACTAAAACACATTTTCTTCATTACACCAAACATTTTGGAGTTTTACCGTCAATTCAACTAATACAGGTCAAGATAAATAATTTCAGTCTGTTGTTCGCATCTCAGTAAGACGACCCGGTGAGAACTGGATTACTGTGAACATGCCATCTGCGTTTCTCTGCGTCTATTCTGTCCTAATGATGAACAAAATCCATATAAATCACAGGCCCGTTAACCGCACTACCGTGATCGGAATAGCTGATTGATGAATTACAGCGATCATTGTGGATGCAGCCCACACGTCTCCGAGGCTCCCACGGGGCCGGATCCATGGAGCCGCACAGATTTGTCAATAGTGCAGAAAACCAAAGTCACAGCAAAATGTCAATGTGTGCCAAAACCAAAGGGTGAGCGACAGATTACGTGTGTTTACATCCTCACTGCGGCACTAGATTGAACTTTCTTTTCTTTTTTTTTATGAAGCACTAACCTTTTAATATTGATTCTAAAAAGATAGTTACATTATTTCTATTCACCCTTTGACACGTTTCAACTGCTTGTATTTGAACTATCGAGCAAATTTAATTTTGTTAAATTATTTCCCAAACATGGTGTGTTGACATGGCATCTTCTCCTGTGGTCTTCACCTCTTTAAAAAAACCAGAGTGAAGGCAGCTGTGTCCAATTACTTATGACTTCTATTGGTTAATGACACATAATGTATATGTGGCCAAGGTGGTCCGCGCTCAACCTTGAGATTTGTCTGAGGTTGTATGAATGGAGAGAATCAGGACATGAAGCAGAGGAGAGCGAGAGCGGAACAACAGGCAGGTTCACATCGCTGCCCCCGATGTTCACAACTATAATATCCTGCAGAAATTCCTTAGCTGGGACAATGGAAGACAATTTGTTTTGTGAGTAACCGTCTGGGGCCCACTGTAGTAATAATCGGCTGAACTGTTTTCCATTAATAAATACCTTTCTTTATTTCTTTAAGTGTCCATATTTGTTAATTTGCCTTTTACTCTTTGGGAGTAACTGTTATTTTGCTCATACTAATCAGCAGTAACTTTGTTTTGGGCCATTTGTTTTCCTTTACCTGTTAGCACAGAAAGACGGTGTCCCCATTGCTAATTAAAGATGTGGTTGGTTCTGCTGTTCAAACAGCCATCAATGAGCACAACACCAGACCTATTTGAAGAATATGGGTGAATAAAATGAGGGCAGAGGTTCAGAGGTATAGTTATTCCGCTCATTCAAGAGCAAGCGCTCTGCACTGCGGTGTGAGGTTTTCTTCTTACTTCAGTAGTAACGACATTAACAGAAAAGTCAAATCCCTTGGGTATTATACACTGTGCAAAATAAAGAAATGAAAGCACAAAAAAACCTAATCTGGTTAATGCATTGAGTCAGGAGAAAGGAAAGAGTCTAATGAGTCTTCTTTGATTTTATCAGCACATCCTGAAGGGCGTGCAAATTCAAACAAATCTCATTCTATGTATTACCCAAGTCCTCCCTCACAAAACCACAGTGTTACATATATCCTTAATTTATGGCTGTTATTTCTGGCAAAAGGTTTCTCTATTGACAGCTCACTCCAGACGGTGCACAGTGGAATAGATCCTCACAGCTAAGCGGCAGTCGTTAGTCACTACTGTTATTCCAGTAGCTCTAGTGAGAGCAAAGCTAATTCAAAGTTAAGTGAAGGGCCCAAACTCTGATGATTCGCCGCTAAATGCATCAAGGGGAAGTTTACAGTATATATATTGAAAAAGCTTAGAAAACATATTATTCGAGATTTATTTTGTGCCTATGAAAGAGGACCAATTTGATCTGCGACGAATATTTTATGCCACTTTGCATCTGCATGTTAAAAATCTGTTCACATCTTACAGATGAGTTAGTAAGCGCAAGTATATCAGCAGAGATCTGCCATGTTGGTTAATTTGGGTTTTGAGACAATGACGGTCTGGTGATCTGTTTGTGAAAACAACTCATGACTTTGCGTTGACAGTGAGTTCATTTGTTTACCAACTTCCGGTTATCTGTACTCATTTAATGCCTTGATTACCGCTTTGATAAAAGCCTAAACCAGGTCAGGTTCTCTCATCAAGAGTAGTTTTCTACCACAATAACAAATTCGACCACTGCAGCAGCTCAGCTTGTGAGCTAAACCTTTTGCAGCAGAGAGAGACACACTAACTGTGCATAGAAACACGGAGCTGCTGCGGAATTAGCACATACACCAGATTCAAGATAAAGTTTCAGTTCGGCCAACATCCAGAGCAACTGACACTTCCCTTCCCCTTTGAGCAAAGACAGAGGGGGAAGTCAGACCCCCACAAGCTTGGCCCGACTTCTAAAGGCTTTTAATGAAAGGGACTCGCCCCACCGACTACTGTACACCTGATATACTACTTTTCTCAAAAGTTATCGGGATGGCGTCCAACTCACGGAAAACCACAAGTAGCAGTTAAAAACTACTATGAAGAGAGAATGTTTGAAGCCGTCTGCTTTTCAAGGTTAGCAAGCTGCTATTAACAGACCTCTGATGCCTCCCTACGTGTGACTCTGGGCCTGATTATTGACATGTGATTTGTGGTATTGTCTATCATACGGAGGAGGGACATAGTTCTTTCTGTCTGGTCAACACCAGCGCAGCAACACATTTGACTATATTCTTGATATATGTGCGTTGCTCATTTATGAAGGCTGTATGTGTCCAATTAATTGATATGATAGGAAACCTCAAACATACGTATAGTGAATTGTTTCACCATAGTTATAAATGAGTGTTCACTACATGTAACGGTGCTCCTACTTCATGCAAAGTTAAAGGATGAAGCGGCGATATTCTGTTTTTTCTTATTGGCAATAAAAAAAACAGAACCAACAAAGAGCCCAATCCCCCAAACCTTCAAATGAATAAAATAGTCTTACACTGCTTGGCATGTTCCTTTAGCAAAAGGAATTTAAAATGTTCAAGTCAATCCCATATTGTTCTGGTGCTGTAATCATACTCACTATCTGCAGGTTAAACATGCTGCAAACACGCTCGGGTGTGAGCGTGATACAACTCCAACACGTCATTACTGTATAGAATATAAGGTGCTGAAAACACTTTTAATGCATCATTACACTTTAATAAAAGTAAAAAAAAAACAAGTTGCTTTTGAGGCAAAAAGTTGCATATTCTTTTTAGGTGTAATCCCTGGGGTAAAAGTTAAAGAGCGTCCTCTTCTGTAGTTTTGATTAAGACAACTCTGCTGGTAGCAGGACAAGTTTGACAGTGTAGTGAGTCTCACACTAAAATTCAGAAAGATTTCAAAACGAGACACAATCTACGCGCGTTGCCAAACAGGTTAGTAGTACAACGCAATGTGTTTATGCAACATTATTTGGGCCTAGAGCAACGCGACGTAATGCAGCCAAATGCTGAACTTCACTTAATCGTCTATTAGCGATTGTAAAGCCCAAGCGATGAGAACGGTGGGCATGTTGATGGCCCGTGGTTAACACGCGTCAAGGAGCAGATGCTGCCCCGTTTATTTTGTCATGTGAGCTGTCAAGTCATTAAGTGACAGCTGGCTGGCCAGCAGAGCGAGACAGCCAATCAGAGAGCGAGCGGGCGTCAGCTAGCTACACCTGCTAAGGATGTGGTCGCTCGTGGGCAATGAAAGGTTATACATTTCGGAGGTGAATTATGCTGTCACATATTTATTACGGCTGCTACTTCCCAGTGGACGTATGGTTTTGCGCCGTTGCACTTGTAAACCGCAGTTAGTGGCAGTTGCCACAGCATACATGTGTGCCAGGGCCGGACTAGCCTGGCTAGCCGGTCGGAAGCTAATCCACCTAGCTAACGAGCTAACTAGCTGCGAGTTGACCCGCCGTCCTTTCACGCGAGGTTAATATTTTCAAAATGTGACTGCTGCAATTCCCCGGGTTTGTTACCGTAACACTGCCCCCCGCCTCCCTTTTCCTAACACCGCTGGCCGAGGCACCCCCCTCCCTGTCGAAGCCGGGCCCTCCCCTCTTACCTCTGAATTTCAGTTCGTGCTGAGGCTCCAAGAGCAGAACCTGTTCCGGCCTGGCCATATCCCAAAGGCTGGAGGGGGGTTATCGCACTGCGACCAGTTCCTGTCCCTCGCCCCCGCGTTAGGATGTTGTAAAGTGCTGCAACGTAAATAGAATTGTTCTATCAACGAATCGGCTGTGGATATCCTGCTCCCCCCCCCCTCCCGCTGCCGCCGGTCAACAGTTCTACTCGAGCTACTCACGGCTGTTGTGATGCAGCAGGAAGGGAGCGAGAGACAGCCCGGTGACGTCACCGCCTCTGCATAGCCACCCAGCGGGGAGGGTGACGATGGGTGGTGCCGGGGTGCACCCAGGGACGGTGGGGCCACCGCCTGAACCGGTGTCCAAGAAAACACATTGATGACACATTAATACATTTGAGCCTGGCGTCTAAATTAATTTAATATATATATGTGTGTGTGTGTGTGTGTGTGTGTGTGCATATATATACACACACATATTTTTAGCACATTCATATCACACATTCCATCCACACATCATACATATATATGTAGTATATAGTAAGTCACAACTGCTAACTGTGTCCTTTTCCAATCTCTTAAACTGCAGAGAACACACAATGGATAACAAAAAATAGCTTATTTGTGTCATTTTCGTCATTTTCTGTTGTCTCTTACTCAAACTAAACTAACTAACTTCTCCCCTCTGCATTATTGGAAAATAATCACGCTGGGTTTAAATTGGGACACTCTTGACTCTTAAGTAATATATTTTTGGTGGATCACTTCTTTAAGAAGGTTTACATTTTACAAGGAGAAGAAGACAAGTAATTGTAATTACATACAGTACTAGAGTAAATGTTATTAGTTACACTCCAAAATTGACACTGTACATGCGGAGTACATCAACGTAACACAGATACATATTATTTAATAACAGTTAAGTTTGATCATGTCTTTCTAAGTTATTACATTCAACCAGCTTGAAATATTTAAAAAAAGTAGTATCCATAGTTTGAACTAATGTTGAAAAAAGCAGAAGCAGCGAAGCATATACATTTAAATGTTATTACATTTAAATTAACATTTACAGTCAAAAGTAGTACTTACGTGGTTTGTAAGTATCTATGAAAAATTCCAATCAATCCATTCCAATTAAACGGATCAGTGAACCAGTAATGCACAATGCAAGGGCCTTGGCAGGATTGATCTAAATGCTTATAAATTAAAGCAGCATAAAGTTAGACCTTGTGAAACACTTATGTTTTTCTGGGTGGAAAGCTGCTTTAAGGCAAAATAATGCCCGAGTGTCTGTCAGTGAACCTTTAATTTCATAAATCAATGTTTTTTTTTCACCTGTCAAGCTACGTTAACTTTTTTTCTAGCTCTCATGTTATTCTCACACTACCATGACATAATTGCAATGTTTATGCCTTCATTATTACAACTTTAAGAGCTTGCAGCAATATTGCTTTCACATTTTCCATTTTCTTTTAAGCAAACTTTTTAAAGTTGGGTTTAGCTGGGGATTAGGAGGTTGTCAAAGGAGCGTTCTGCCCTCTCAGCACTTTTCAAAGTGCAGTGAAAAGCCCACTGCCAGTCAAAGACGCATCTCAAGTGTCATATTTATATATATATAGCCAGGTGGCTGTCTGCTAACTGAGGAACACGACCGATCACTAACAACATTGTCACTGTATCCCCAGGAAACCAGTTCATCGCCGACGTCTCTCTTGCGCCCCAACACTGAAGGACCTACTTTCTCACACATTACAGGAGAAGCAAAACATATCTTTATCAATCTTTTATTAGCAAACAAATTGACAATTCCCTTTTAACACATTTGTGAATACACTGCAGGCACGTTTTTTTTTCTGGCATTTTGTTACAATCAATACGAAATGTATAGTAAAAAGCTATATATGGTAACTACAATGCAGACGGAGTTACTTCAAACCGTTTGCGAGTCTATTGTGGTCATAGAACTGGCTAAGAATTCAGCCATTGATTTTTGTGCAATGTGATGGTATATATTTACACTGAAAAATAAACATAATATTGATTAATCACTTTCCCAGGTCCAGCCCGGGACTATTGATATTTTTCAATGCCAACCTGGCCCACAATTTCTATCCATGCTTTGTTTTAAAATAAGGGGAAAACATTAGTTATGACCAAGCTTGAACTGTTAAATCATTGTGTTACATTGACAATAAAAAAAAGGCTAATTATCTTGCGTGTGGTAAAATGGCGTTGGCATTATTTGGCACCATTTCTTTATAGCAATAAGAACTGAGCAAACAGTCAAAACAAAGATAACCTCCAAGTAGCATGAAGGAGTCTAACACCATTACAAGAATCTTTCATCAAGTTATTTCTCGTGGATAATAGCAGGACACGGAGCGATACCTGGTAATTAAGACCAATTACAAACAGTCCATCAAAGTGCAGCAGTCAGTCGAAGTACCAGAGGGATTTTCAGTTTAGGTTTTGACCTAACATGTCACTCTGCTTTCCAAAGGATTTCGTCACCACATAACACTGCTCACGAGCAAAACGGTCATCAAATCAGCTGAAAATGAGGTAAATATACATTATTATCTGTTTGAGACTACTGGAATGAGATCTTTGCACACTGCTTCCCTGTGGGAACATTATCCCTTTGTAATAGTTTTTTCTTTTTGGTTTATGTCACATTTCTACCTCCCACTATTGCACAAAAGATATAGGCAGCACTGCTTTGCACACAAATCATCAATAACAGCTGCGTTTAGGATGCTTAAAGACAAATTAAGTGGCTTTCACTGACACGGGAGCACACGATCCAAATGTATTAACCTGGAAAGGCTGATTAAACTCAAATCTCTATTTTTTGGCAACTGAAAAGAGCTTTAGGGGCTAAAAAGGCTCCAGAGACCAGTATGGAATTACACAAAATTAATAAGTCTGTGGCCCGAGTCAACTGGAGCTCAATTAGGACAATATATGAGGCGAATTAAACTACTGTTAAATAGCACGGATCATAGAGTAGTAATGAACGTAAGAAAGACCCACATGTTTGAAACAAAACATGAAAAGACCTGGGGAAAAAGAAGCCCATACAGTAATTCAGAGGAGAAAGTGGACCAGGGTTCATTAAGGGGTCATCATGTCGACACAGCGCCACGTCTGATCCGGGACCTATAACCTCAGAGAGGCCTAGTTACCAGATTTCAATGTTTTCATCTCAGGCCAGGTACTAAAACAACATTTCATTTGGCAAGACCTCACAAAACAAAAACAAAAAAAAATAAGATTAGAGCAAAAGGGAGCCAAAGGGATATTGGTAAGGAACTATACTGTGTGTAGACGTCTGGGTTCAGTTGATTCTATTTCAGTAATTACAAGAGAAGGTGTTCAGCACAGGTGGGAAGCCAGAGCTGTTATCATATATAATAATACGTGTTGGGAGTTTTGGACTCAAAATTGAGATTTTACAACAACTTATGAAAATGTACAGAGGCTTGGATCACAATTAAGTAATAGTTTGTTTCATGGAATACAGCGATTTGCTATAATGGTTAAAAGATACCGTTCTCATAATTGTCTATTAAACGTATTAGCTAGCAGCTGGTTAGCTTAGCATAAGACAGCTGCTCTTTTCAGATATAACATTTTAGTTCGTGAGCGTCAGGCATTCTTTGTTGCCACGTTCCTGTATTTTTAGTCTTTGAGCGAAGATAACTGACCGCTAGCTGCAGCTTCATATTGAGCCTACAAACACGTGCTATTCTCATCTATACCCATGCAAACTATTCCTTTAATGTAAAAGAAGTCAAATCCCACACACCTTTCACTTTCACATTTTTTACAGTGGGATTGCGGTTTACTTCAAAACACCCATTTGGCATTTTGCCTTAAAAATGCATCTTGATGAAAACATCAATCACACGGTAAAACTGATATGTAGCCTGCACGATCGCTTACAAACAACGATGAATACCATGATCGTCTTCATTAAATAGAAATTAGGGATTATAGGTGTTAACCGTAATGATAGACCCTCCACAAAACATTATTATTATGCAAAAGACAACAACTTCAGTGCTATCAAAATCATTTGGTGGACTTTGGCTGTTTTTTACTCCATATTTTGGTATAAAAGGTAGATCTTTACAAATGTACATGTACAATTGATTTCATTAATCTGTAAAGTTTCATCTCATTTTGATGTCCATGATAGAAGGGTCTGTCTTTTTTTTTTTTTTTTTTACTTACACATCATTGATGTTTTAATGCAGGCAATGCCCAGAAAACGTGTTTTTTCTGAAGCCAGCAACTTCGCACGACACACGAAGATTTTTGTTGGTTTGTTGGAGTGACACCAAAAAATTTGCTACTGTCACTTGCGCGTCCCAGGACTCGCGTCGGCAGGGTTGTTGCAGGCGCGTGGTGGCTGGAAGCTGAAGCAGGACACAGAGGGTAAGCAGAGGTCAGGTCACAGGTCACGAGGGGGGAAAGTTGCTGGGATCATCATCAGCAGCACGTTCTGCGAGACTCCGAGGCCTGACGTCCCAGTTTGAAAGCTTTTCCTGGAGGTCCTCCTGCTGCGTCGACCACAGGGATGCGCTTACCTTTGAGGAGACAGACACACACAAAAACGTGTGTAAAAATGATTTTTTTGTATATATTTTTACAGAACTGTTTTCATAGTATGATTAAATGCGAATGAAGAGAAACGCAACAGGCCTGTGCTTCAATTCCCTGATTCCAATGCAAAGTTTTCAGCCTGATTTGATCCAAACTACACAGCTGTGACAACTGAACATAATGGCCGGAAACGATACAATACGTGTGGAATTGGTTCCGTTTTTTGTATGCAATAAGACATTTATATCCTCAATATCTCTATTCTATCTGGACATACTAGCTTCTCACAAATCGACCTGGAGGTAATATGTTGTAAGCAATTGGAGCGCAACTAGAGTGTAATTATCAGTTACTTCTTCCAGAATCAAATCCACTGCCCAAATGGAGACAGATAATTATCTGAATGCGGAGATGTGCAATGGCACCAGGCGCTTAGTAAACACACTCACTTATCTCTATAAACACCTCGTTGATGTTAATGGCGTTCTTGGCACTGGTTTCTACAAAGATGGCATGGATGGAGTCGGCGTAGTCCTTGGCATCCTTCTCTGGCACTTCCCTGTAAATACAAGAGCCATTTCAAAATGATTATGTTGCAATATGTGAACAGATTCTCAGATTTCATGCATTACTTGATATCCATCGAAACGTTAGTCCACAGCTATTATGTGGGAGATTTTCCCATTTTCACGGACGGAATTATCAAAAGCACATGTGTACGAGTCAGCGAGATTTTGTGGAAGATACAGAAACACTAAAATATCTTCGAATAATTCAGTGTGAGAGGCCGTATTCTCCCCGTTTGCAGAGCAGCATCCACTTCAGGTCCAGACACTAAAACAGCTCCTCTTTCTTCCTTTAATCCCATCATCACTGCTGTAAGTGAGGAGGCATCAGCATGAACGGTTCATGACACATATTATCTGTAGTCGAGATTCACCTGGCGTCCGACAGGTCACATTTGTTGCCAGCGATGGCGACCACTATATTCGGGGGGCCGTGCTGGCGCAGCTCCTTCACCCAGTTCTTTAGTGTTTGGAAGGAATCCTGACGATAGAGAACATCTGAACAGATCAAGACAAGCACATCGTGCCTCCAAGGAAGGTGGAAAGGATTGGTACGGCATTTTGGGGAACATGATTATTTGCTTTTTTTCGGGCTGGTTAGCTTTATTTAGCATCAAGAAGCTCTGATCTAAGCTGACACAATCCTTTAAACGTCTAAAGCAGAAACATGAATACATTGTGTGTCGTCTTTTTTCTTTTCACAGGGACTACCTGCCAGCTGCTCGAAATAACCCAACATAACAGTCTTAAAACGGGGAATTGGGAATTTCACACAAGGCTTTTTATATGGATGAAATAAAAAAAATATATATGGTGTTAATAACCAAGCATTAGAGTTGCAGGAAGGCAGATTGTGTTACCTTTAGACAGAGCCAGGCTGGCTGTTTACCTCGGTTTCAGTTCCTAATGCTAAGCTAAGCTAAAGGCTGCGGCTTCGTATGAACTGTGCGAAGATGAGTGGTATCCGTCTCGTAAATAAGTACATATCCAAAATGGTCAAGCTATTCCTTTAGCACACATATGAATTACAACTGAAGGAAAGACATGGAACAAAACAATAAAAATTGACAGTGCATACTGACAGGAAAACGAAGATAATACCTCTTTCGTGATGTCATAAACGATGATGGCTGCCGCCGACCCTCTGTAGTACATCGGCGCAAGAGCCCGAAACTATGAGAAGACAGAGGAGGGAAGCGATAATGAGGGGACAGGAAGGAGGCCGAACACGGTGATCAGAGTGCACACCAAGAACTGGTCAAATATGAAAAGTGCACCACAAATACCATTCAGCATAACTGAATTATATATTTCGACCCCCACATAGGGTGAAAAACAGTGCCTTGGCTTTTCATAGACCAACGGATAATCCGTAACATCGGCCCTGATGATTACATCACTGCGCTTTTCATAACACTCCATAACACCAACTGTGACAAACTCAGAACAGCACCAACCAAATGCACCCAAAAAAAAAAAAAGGCTCAGAGTACCGTTTTACTGAACCAGAGGCCAAGTGTTCTGAGCCTTTAAGCCAAGTGGCTTTACTTAAAATGGAAGTACGGCAAGTCTTTCCAAGAGACCTCACACATGTGGTAGCCATCGAGAGAGATGGGCAGAATGTGTCAAAAGCTGTTAGCTGCTTGATATTTATGGAGAACTATATAATTGATCCTAATAAATCACAAAGCCGGGCATAACCAAAGCAGCGTGTGCACTTTTTTAATCCCTAGCAGTGATGGCTGATGGGGGGTGTTTCTGAGGTAAAATACTTTCCAATGGCCATCGAAACCTGGATGGAACAATTAGCCCGTTGTCATAAAACTCGTTCTTCATATTCGTGCTGGCAGCACGTCAGTGTGTCGCTCGCCCCCACCCCCCACCCCACACCGAGATCTTGACTGTAAATATCTCAAAAACTACTGGACGGACGCCTCAGAAACATGGTAGAAATATTCATTGTGCCCAAAGGACGGCCCTTCCTCTCCGACTTCGCTCAATCTTCACTATGAAGTAAAGAGATTTGCTTTTTGTGAAGTTTCGAAAGAAAATGTTGGATGGATTTTCATGAATCGTTTTTTCATGTTCCCTCCACAAGTGCATGTTTGATCCCTGCAAATATCTGCAAAGGATCAGCTTCAGGTGTTTTTTCTGCTCCGTGCTGATTTGCCACAGTTATAATGTGTCCATTTCTCAGTTCAGGCAGCGTTTGTTTTCCATCTGTCCCAAAAAACCCATCAATAATTAGATGACCATCAAATTCATGAAGATAACAGAAGCAAGTAGAAAACTGCTCGTGTCGAAAGCATTTGAACAGAAAAGTGGAGTCCATAAATACACTGTTTAAATTATTTTTCTGGTCAAACAAATATGAACCATTAACTCTTGATCTCAGCTCAAATAAAATATACAGTAGTGGAAATAGACCAACACAACATTTAAAAATATGAATATTGAAAAAAGCTTTTTTTCCCCACACAGACTTTACTTTTTTTATGTCTTCTGGCAAAATGCTCTTCTGGATTGGGCCTTTCAACAGACTAATAAAGCCATGTGTCATGTATTGACCCAGGCGATTTTTATGAAAAGACTAACCATCGTCTGATAACCACCGCCACCAGGACTCACCCTGCTTTCCACGCCGATTCCATCTTCCCTTACAATACGATGGAACAAACTATCCATCTTAAGCGGGACACAGTTACCTCAGGAAAGCACACATTCCACATAATTATAGTTGTTACTGGCCCAAAGTCCACCAACTGGAATCTAACTCGAGTTATTTGGCAGCGCCACTGAGGAGAGCGCTGCCTGTTTAGCCGGCTGGTGTCGGGCTTCACCGCCACCGCCACCAGTCCTGTGTGGTCTCTTTCTGCCTAAACCAAATGAACGATCACAGCGAGGCCGCAAAGCAGCCCCGAAAAAACAGACCCAGTCACGCCTCGATTAATTTATGAAACCACGCGTTTGATACACAATGAAAGAAACCGTCCTATACTATTAGCGTGCACAATATTTTCATCAAGGCGCGGGGGGACTTGACAAGCTGTTGACAGCCGGGATCATCTGGTCTTGAGATATGTATTGTTGGATGGATTGGAAATCACAGAGCTTTCTTCGCTGCTTCCAAGTGCATTGGTGCTCGACTCGTAGGGCTTTGAAATACCGCAGCAAAACCTACCAAAGGAATGTCGCCACTATTTCACACACGGATGTGAACCAGTTGGAAAGCTGAGAGGCCACAGTGAAAAAAGTGGATTTGAGGGAATGAAAGAAAGTGGAAAAAATGGAAGAGGACACAAAAAAAAATCACAGGAAAAAAATCGATTGTTGTCAAGAAAAGGAACAAACAAAAGGGGAAGTGATGAGGCGAGCAGCGAGATGTCGGATGCAATGTGTGAGTCACGAGGGAAAGTAGTTGCACACGATATAACTGTCTGGGGTTTGTCAATGTTAAAACGGGCTCGAATGCTAAAGATTGTGCTCCAAAACCAGGATATACACCGTTCTCTACATCCCATTTCCTATGTGTGTGGTTTCAGCACTTGGTGTGGGTGATGTCACACACGCTGCCTTGGTGCTGCCGTGCAGACGCAGGAGTGTAGATTACATAAGAAGTGGCACCTGCTGACGGATCGGTTTCAGACGTCTCTAAAAAATTTAAAAACGGAACAAAAGAAAACCAATGGCTCTCCTTCATTTGTGTCTCTGAATGTCTGGATGCAGTGAGGGGGCATGAATAAGATTAAAACGTGACAGGAACGCGGATCGTTACAGACTCACTGATGTTTCTAATAATCCAAACAAGTGAACTGGGAGAAGTCGGTTAGCGGTCAGCGAGCAGGACTCTTCCTATAGGAAGGTGGATGTTGCCCCCTCTCTGATGTGACGAAGAACTGCACTTTCCCCCACAAAAGTGGGAGTGGCAAACTCAGACATGCCGCTTTCTCGCTTCCTTAAAAACAACGGGGGTGGACTGAGATGACCTGTGAATACGCCAAGTCAAACCGAGCGATTACTAGATGTCGAGGCCGAAACCTCAGAGGACATTACTGACCCGCTCCTGTCCGGCCGTGTCCCAGATGAGGAACTTGTGCAGTTCGTTTTGGTATTGCACTGTCTTGGTCATGAAGGACGCCCTGATGGGGGAAAGAAATGACTTTGTGATTGACGGATTATCTAACAATACCGAAACACTACCTCAGATTACACAATATTACAAATTGTAGACGAAGGGCAGAACTGCAAATCAAGCTATTTTAAGAGTGTTAAACAGTGATAGAATCCCTCTTTTCTTTAAATGATCAGCTCGTTATATAAAATCAGATATCTTAAATTATAACATCCCAGCTGTGAGGCCTTACTCACATGACATCAATAAATCCCACCGATAAGGTACTCTTGAGGCTGATAACAATATCAGCTTTTTATTATTGATTGTCCGTGATGTTTGTCTTAACTTATCTGGCACCTCTGAACGCTCTAAAATTGCTCACTTGATTTGAACCACAGCAAAACAAACACACAATGCATGTCACTTATAGAGAAAAGCAATCAATTTTTAAAAAGGCTGCAACAATCTCTGGTTTTATTTATGAATAATCTGCCAATTAATGAATACCTTTAAATTGCTTGTTGTCAAAAAGCCCCACACGTGTGAAATCCTTTACACAAACATTAAACTATCAGAGTTGCTGCCGATTAGTTCTCCATCCCGTTAAGCTCTAATTGGATTTGATAAATCCATAAATAAGACTTTTAAAAAAACTAGAAAAGGCATTTCCTGCTGAAAATGCGTTGGAATGCAAAAAGCTGATTGTCTCCTGCAACATCGCACCACAGCAACCAGTGAAACACAGAATGAGTTGTTCCGTGGGAGACAGCAGGAACTTACCCAATTGTAGGGTTGATGTTCGGGTCAAAGCTGTCCTCCACAAATCTCCAAACAATACTCGACTTTCCAACGCCGGTGTCCTGCAGAGACCAAAATAAAGACTGTGTTTACTAAACAGGATAGGAAACCATTACTAGTTGTATAATCACAACTACATAAAAAAAACCCATTCTCTGGCAATATGCCCAAACACGATCGCTTCTTCATGGAATCGTCCTCCTTCCTTCCTTACTTTGTGATAAAAGTAAAGCAGGAAGACTTTCCTTTTAGCTCGATCGTTCAGGAGGAAGAGATGTGAAAATGTCGTACTGTTGTTATGTTGGAGTATAATAATTGATGAATGTTCCATGTTATTGATTTATAATTATCGTATGCAGGGGAAAATCTTAAATACAATTTCATAATTAACATTACTGGTTTGTAAAGGTTGTAAATTGTGACTATTTCCATCAACCATTAATCCAATAGTTATTCTTTGGGGGGGGGGGGACGTTTTCTAGAGCCTCGAACTAAATGTTTCTATCTAAGTGTCAAAAAGTGCAAATTAACTTAATTTACAGGGATGCAAAAACACAGGAAAGCAGCATATCAAATCATCACATAAGTGGGTGGAAACAGAGATGCTTTTTAATGTTTTACTTGAAAAAAAATGTATCATTATCAATACTGCCACTGATAGATTTTCTTGCAACAGGCTAAACAATAAGTGGACTAACTGCTTCAGTTCTATTTTTATCTAATAAGCCGGTGATGTTACTTTGGTATCAATGGGATGCTGTAAAAGTAAACCAAGCCAGCTGCTGTCTGTAACAATAAATAAATATTGCTCATGTGAATATTTTGAAATAGAAGAGATCAGTGATGATTTTTCAGAAAGCTAAACGTTGTAAAATGTTCATCACAATGTAAAATGCCCAGTTCAGGTTTCTTCCATTTGTCCCCATAGGTAGCCTAAGGTGACACCTTCAAATGCCTTATTTTAACTAAGAAACAACACCCATGATTTAAGTCATATCAGTGAATGATCAGACCGTTGTTGCGGATTAATGTTCTCATGATCCAACTCCATTTTAGGGTTATTACTATATAACGAGGAGGAAATGTCATGTTATTTCAGGGATGGTCAAATGGGACGCTGGGAGCATGAAACATGGGCTGATGCTGTTCAGCAGTTTAGACACGTACAAACGTTGTAACTCAGGTGAGATTCACCACATTTACCTGGTGTGAACACACCTGTCCATCAGTATTTGAACAGTTACAACGGGTTACGCGTTTCGGATACACATCGACACCGACTTACCCCCAGGAGGCAAACTTTTAACTCTCTCAGCGCCATATCGATCTGCCCCTCTCACTCAAAATGAGTTTGTGATGATGAACATTGGCGGTTGTTTTTCTTCTTCTCCTCCTCCTCCTCCTCCTCCTCCTCCTCTGGTTTACCGGTTACAATCCTCAATATCCCTCAAAGTGCTGCGTGTTTTCCAAACGACGTCACTCCATCACCTCGAAACGCGGATCTCGGGCCAGGCTGCACTCCTCGCTATCGGCGCTAAAGACGTCGGATCAGCCACATCGCGATTGCTGTCGACGAGCTAACAGCGAAGCCACCGGATCGCCGTCTCCATCTTGAACCGCGGACCGCGGTCACGTGACCGCGTCGGCTCTTTTCTGCTCGGAGGAAGAAAGAAAAAAAAAAGGAAAAAAAACACACAAAGCCCCACCGGCTTGTTATTTCCGCTCAGTTATGTCGAGTTTGTGCCGGAGCGGAGAAGCGGTTATCGGCCGAGGTTTTTAAAAAAATATATATACACACATATGTATATATATATATTATCTAACCGGTGATACCCAGCATCAGGAAGTGCCTTCAGGAAGTAGTTTGCTACCGTGTTTGAGTGACAGCTGTGCGGCGGTGACAGCCCACACGGGACGGCAGCCCGCAGAGCCGAGCCGATACTCAAGATGGCAGGTAATGGCACTTTTCTAATAGTGTTGTCTGTAATACTTTGACGCTTTGTTTGAACTTGTGAAGCCGCGTCGTGGTCCTTGGGGTGTATATATTTTGATTCAGCGGCTCCCCTTTTCGCTGATTTCGCGGTATTCCCAGGCAAAGTGCTAGCAAAGGCGAGCCAAGTCAAGCGAAAGCGCTGGACGAGCCTTGTTAGCAAACTTAGCACTGCTAGCCAGCCAGCTAACGAAAGCTATTCATGGGTAACGTTATCCAAATGTGTGACTTTGAGGCTACACTTAAATGTATAGTTACTTCGTATGAGGAGCGTGTTTTGTAGGCACCTCTCTCCCGCGTAACTGCACAGCACGGCGTGCTTAAAGACGTGTTTATTATCGAACTGTTGACATAGCAAAGGCTAGCGAGTTGACCTAGCTTACGTTAGCCGAGTTGCTAAAGTCATTTTCAGCCATAAGCTGATCAAGTCCTCCTTTATGCAATAACAAAGGAGAAATGCCGCTCTCTGCCAACGTGTTTTGCGGGGTGCCGTTAGTCGTCACGTTATTCACTCCACACGCAACACACCTCGTTTAATGTCTCTTTTCGAGCTGGGATTTGTTTTTGTATTTGGAGCACATTCCTCTGCATGCCCAGCAGTAAACACTGGCATTAGCCGTCCCAGCACATGCTTCTACTTCTGGGACTTTACTCTGAGCTCCTCTGTTGACTGCGCTGCTGCTAGTTATTGTTTCCTTTATCTGTGAATGGCTGGTAAGAGATCGGGCAAGGGACTTAGTCTGGTATCGGCCCGTTATAGCGCAACCATGTGTAAAGAAACTATGTGTGGTAATGTTAATGGGAAGTACATGCTTTGTGGTTGTACGTCATACCACAGGATACATGTATGTTGACACTGATTTGGGAAATCAACCTTCAAATGATCCAACAATTGTTTGTTGTTTTATCTCAAAAGATGTTTGTAGTGGACCAACTTAATTAATCTTATGCGGGAAAATTGAATAGTCACAGCGGCAGAAATACAAGGGCCGATGCAAAGTAGGGATAAGCGAATAAAAAAACAACCATGCAAATCACTAGAACTGTTTTTCTCAGACTGAAGTCTAGTAAAAGATAAAGATACATGATACTATATATGTCTGAGGGAATGTATTTCTGTAGGTTGAGTGTCATGTTTGTAGAAAGAACAGAGACGGTACTTAAATATATGATAGAAAAGTTCCTCTGATATTAGAGGTTCTTTAAACCCTTGATTTTATGGGGTTTTGACCCAACATGGGTTTGTCAGACAAATATCCACACAAGGGCAAGGAAGGTGTATCTGCGGGGAATAACATTTATTTTTTGCACAATCACAATTTTTTGGTCATTTCTGGTTTGAAGCGTATGTGTTTGAAAGAAAATCAGTAAAAGACGACAAGATTTATATTTTATTTATATATATATATATATATATATATATATATATATATATATATATAATATTATATTGACCATTTTCTCTCTTTCACCTAACTACAGCCAATTCAGCATAGTTTCAGTTTTACAAAGTGATTCGTCAGCGAGACCGCTTCAGTTTACTGTGACCCTTTTTGTAGGAGGGGGGGGGGTGTTTAAAGTGATGATATGTTGATGACACACTTGCCACCATGGACTTTCCCTCTTCTCGCCTTATCTCTGCAGGTCTATCTTTATACTTTGAAGATGGCCATGATGATCTCGATGATTGTGAGTACTGTGCTTATTTGAATTTGTTGACCAACTACATGCAACACTACCTCATTTATTTTATATGTGTGGAACTTTGTCTCCCCCCCCCCCTTCAGCAGGGAGTATCCGTGTCATCTTCCTGGGAAACCTCATTGACCCATGTGGAATATAAAGCTGTCAACAGTATTCCAGGGTTTTACGCCTTGCTATTATTAGCTGTCATACAGGCTGTCTGTCGTCTGCATCAGCGAGAGTAATAGAACATCGTCAAAGCCAGTGTGTATTTATGTTTAGATGGAGTCACGTACCTGCATGGAGTAATTATTAAGACCTCAGGCTTTCCACTTTATTCAGAAAATGAAGGCGCTTCATTCCCGGCATTTAGTCCGACTGATTTTGTTCAACACGGCCCTGTGATTACTGTGGTGCATCTGTCCGCCCTTATTGAAATGTCTGCCTCTGTGCTCGGCTCCACTTTGTGTGACTATAAAAAATAATAATACTTCTTCCTATATCACAGTTGGATTTGATGACTACGGTTCAGAGTGCGACGGTATCCGCATCACAGCCTTCCTCGATGCAGGACAAGACAACCTAACTCCTCTTGGGAGGCTAGAAAAGTATGCCTTCAGCGAGAATGTCTTCAACAGGTAAGCGAAACCCCGCCGACCGGCTGTTAACGCGACACAAATGGTGCTGAGTGGGAATTCATTGTTAAAGTATATTGTACGACATGAACTCTCCGGGATATGCATATTCTGGAAGAAAACATTTTGGCGGGTAAAGTTTAGGAAAAGGAAAGAAAGAAAAATGTATTGTTTGAGGTTAAAAGTAAAGCTTTGATTGTCGCATGACAAAAAACTAAAACATTTAGCTGGAATTATGTTTTCATCCAGCCAATTTCCTTCCTCCTGGTGTTCATGTCCACACTGCATTTCAAATGTATTGATAACATCCTTCTTTTTCTACACTGACATCGCTTTGTTTTTCACTACTTCTGTTTATTTTTCTTTAACCAAAGAGCTGTTTTGGTCATGTGGGTTTTCACGTATCTGCAGTTTCGTAGACGCATCCTAATGTTTAGGATTTCTTTGGAGCAATATTCTATTCAGTCATAGCAACAGGGAAACATCTGCAACCAAGTGGGACTTGTTATCAAGGAAACATCTGGACTGTGTCATTTCTTGTAGAAAAAGGATGAGAGGTTGTGGCCAGTTATTGAAAAGGGCTTTTTATGACTGGGAAGCGTTTAGCAAGAACCTTTGCACAACATTTTGGGCTGTCTCCATATTTGTTATGCTTTGCTTAACACAAAATGTTATTATCATTACTGAAAGGTTTTCATGGCTAAAATAAGTAGTGATAAAGTTGCACATGTAATCTGTTTTATAAATTGTACAGTGGGTAAATCATAAACTTCACTGTGATGTCAAATCAACTCCTCAGCCTATCTCAAGCGATCTCTAGAGGAGTTTTTTCCTACTCATCGAATGACTGTGTGCGTTTATCACGTACCTGCTTGAACTCAGTAATGCAGGAATGTGGTTTATGGTCGGATGGTGTCAGTCTGAAATATGCCAACAGTGTCCTGCCGGTCATTATGATGATAAATGTAGTTTTTATTTATATTAGCATATATATGTTTTGAATTATTATTTCAACGTGGTGGCATCAGCCTGCCAGCTGGCCCGTGTATTCAACATCCTCTGCAAACATTTAACCATGCTCCTAACCCCCCCCCCACACACACACACACACACGGTCACCCAACTTCATGCTTTTGATGCTCTGCTTTCCGGGCTTCAAGCCCTCCTGTCAATTCCAAGTATATGTTTGTGTGTAATGCACTCGACGGCTCCGTCGGAGCGGTGTGTCACGCTGCGTGCACTCAGCGCTCGTAGGTATTGGCAGCCACTCTACTAACTTGACGCTCCCGTTGCTTTCTAGGCAGATCGTGGCGCGCGGCCTGCTTGATGTGCTTCGAGAGTTCAGTGACAATGAAAATGACTTTATCAGTGTCATGGAGACAGTTGCCAGAATGTCAGAAGATGGAGGTAGATGAATTTTCCTTCTCATAAATTGAGTTGTCACGTCTCTGTATGAGTGCACGCTTTATGACCGTGGTGGCGTCCTTTTTTCCTGTTTTTATTAAATGCAAGTCTTCCAGGTTTCGTTCTTGACATGCTTTCACGCTTGTTACTTAATGTGATGCATGTTATAAGTGTTCTAATGGAATGCGTGTTTTCAGAGCCCACAGTGCGGGCCGAACTGATGGAGCAGGTCCCCAACATTGCCATGTTCTTGCACGAGAGTCGGCCCAACTTCCCAGCAGCTTTCTCAAGATACTTGGTCCCCATTGTAGTCCGATATCTCACAGATCCAAATAACCAGGTGGGTTTCATATCCTTTGTCTTTGAGATCCAATCGCATAAAAAGTTTTGTAGATTCTCAACTTCCTCCCGTCTTTCCCAGGTGCGGAAGACCAGCCAGGCAGCACTGCTCGTTCTGTTGGAGCAGGGCCTCATCTCTAAAGCCGATATGGAGACCAAAGTTTGTCCGGTTCTACTCGACCTCACAGAACCCAGCAGTGATGATGACTACAAAATCGAAGCAGTCTCTGTAAGAAACCCAACATTTAACAAACCAAAGTTTGGGATTATCATGAGGGGAAATGGACTTGAGTGAGCTTTAAAACTGTAAGGCACAAGACCAACTCTAGAGAGGCAATGCGGATTCCTTTTGAATGCCTCACTGTGATCAGTCAATGCCTTTATCTGGTCACCAGTGCAGAGAGATGTTATCTCAAATCAAGTTCAGCCTCCTGAAACTCGTATAACCTGCTCCTCAAACTCCTGCACGCAAACACACCCGAGTCTTCTACTCTCCCTTCTACTCTTAACACCCGGTTTTTGTCCCTCATTGGACCGTATCTTCGCTTTCTGTAGAGCGATCAGTTTAAATCTGCAGCTTGTTTTCATTCATCGGCGCAAAATAGTTTTTATGTTTATTTTAGCACAGTCAAAAGTCTGATGGCACTAATTGCTCTTCGTACGTCTCCTCTTACAGATGATGTGTAAAGTGGTCACCATGCTGAGCAAAGACACAGTGGAGCATCTCCTGCTGCCACGCTTCTGTGACCTGTGCAGTGACGCCCGACTGTTTCAAGTCCGCAAGGTAACAACCCCCAAAACCATTTTCATCACCTCCTCATAGGTCAAGAGACTTTTTTTACCAGTCACAAATTGCTGAAATTGTTTGACTCAATAAGCCACAGCTGAGAGCACTTTTCTATTTTTTTTAATTTATTGGGTGTAATTGTGTCAGAATAAATTCAATAATGCTGTGAGTAAGCCTTAATTCATTTTGTGCATCAACACCACCACCTTGTTTTCTGTGAGGAATGTTTCCTAGCATAACTGGTGCCAGTTGAATGCTTCAATTTAATGTTAGAATTAGCATGTTATAGCACTAATATATTATATAAACTACAGAAAATGTGACCTGGAGTGACCTGTTATTGTGAAATCTTTTAACGAAAACATTTTAACATGACACGACGGTAAATGGGATGCGTGTGCCAATGTAAACACGCTAACCTGAGTGGCTTATGTCATGATGAACGTTATTACGATACTAAATATTCATTAGTGTTTTTGAAATTGCCTTTCTTTTACTGTAATGTGAATGTTTTTGTTGTATTTTACAGGTCTGTGCTGCAAATTTCGGAGAGTTTTGTTCTATTGTTGGTCAGGAGGCCACAGAAAAACTACTGGTAAGAAGACCTTTTTATTTTAATTTGACAGGAAACTCTGAAACCACAACTCTCATGTAAATATTTTCCCGTCACATTTCCGTCCCTCACTGTGACGGCCTGTTTTTTTTGTGTGTGTGTGTGTGTTTTTTTTTTAGATGCCCAAGTTCTTCGACCTTTGCTCAGACAGTCTGTGGGGCATCAGGAAAGCCTGTGCCGAGTGCTTCATGATGGTCTCCAATTCTACCTCTCCAGAAGTGCGACGTGCAAAATTGTCCCCCCTGTTTATCAGCCTCATCAGTGACCAGTCTCGCTGGGTAAGACACACGCGTATAAAATGACATGCACATTTATGTGTAACTTCCTCTGTTAAATGATGAAAGGGCCGTTTTCCTCACCACTGTATCTTTTGTAATAGTCCACTCCAATAGTTGACACTTTGAGCGCAATTTGTACTAATACATCGGCGTGTCCCGATGACATCACTTTAATCTCCGCGTGTTAATGAGGGTCCCTGTGGAACCCCTTTCGGACAGAACTGCACGCTGCCCCTGTCTAAAACAGGGGCCCATGCAAACACTGCTGTTCATGAGTAGACGATACCTGATGGGCTTTTTTGAGTGACTGATTCCCCTTTCAGGTGCGACAGGCTGCCTTTCAGTCTCTGGGCCGCTTCATCTCCACCTTCGCCAATCCCTCCAGCACAGGCCTTCGCTTCAGAGAAGATGGAACCCTACTAGATGTCCCCAGGTGTACATTGGACAGGTAAAAACCACCCGACCTTTTATCTCCCCTGAATGAGTGGTCTTGTTTCTCAAACTCGGTCAGAAATGGTATTATTTTATTTAGTGAACTCTATCGTTTATGCTCAGTACTGAAACCATAAAGCTGACATTACATTACATGTCATTTAGCTGACGCTTTTATCCAAAGCGACGTACAATAAGTGCATTCAACCATAGGGTACAAACTCAGGAGAACAAGAAACAAGAAAGTGCAATTTCCTCAAATAAGCCAATTTACAATTTGCTATAGATGAGTGACGTTACAAGTACAATTTAAGTGCTACAATTTGTTAGTCTTTAGTCGGTTTCATGAATCAGCGTTTTTGCCCTTTAACGTGTTGCGTCATTGTTTACTGGCTGTGATCAGAAACGGGAATGAAATCATTTTTGAAGTTTAACGCCAACACTTCTTTTATGGAGATTCCGTATCCTCTTTACACTTTAAGTATGTTTGACTTTCAGCGAGTGCTCCCTAAACTCTCTGAACTGCTCCGGGATCAGCGTCTGCCACACTGCGAGGACCATCGCTCACACGCCTGCCAACCAGGATGGCCGCGCCACGCCATCCCCCGAGCACGTCCCCACAGCCGACGGCGAGGAAATGCACAGCTTCGACGACAACAACTACACTTCAGTCTCCAGAGAGACGCGCGGCGGCTTCACCCGCACCGTCTCCAACAGCAACGCCGGCCCCACGACCACAAACAATGCTAGGAACTCGAGAGACACGGAGCAGACGGACCAGAACTTTAACTCCTTCAACTATTGGAGATCTCCTTTACCAGACATAAGCGGCGAACTGGAGATGCTAAATAGTGAAACATCCGAGGCGGGAATGGAGAAGAAAGCAGAGGAGGAGAAACCTGATTATCCCGATGCCAAGTTGAGCCCCGGCAAAGCTACGAGTGACCAGATCCAGAAGGTCTTGGACTGTTTGCAACCGCACATGGATGACCCCGATGTACAAGGTGGGTGCAGAGACGCTTCATTCGCTGTGAACCTTTTTGTCAATGAGTCGGCGCGTAAACTGAGTTGTGCGTGTTTAAATCCTCCAGCTCAAGTACAGGTGTTGTCGGCGGCTCTGAAGGCGGCGCAGCTCGACGGCCCGGACGACGACGGCCTGACCGAGCCGGAGGAGCAGCCCGAGGACGACGCCGAGAGCCCGTCTGTGGAGAGCAAGTCCGCGGAGGTTCAGGCCGGGAGCAAAGAGAGTCCCACAGAAGAGGAGCAAGCAGCGGAGCCGCCTCCGTCCTCAGAGTCCAGCCCCGTCCAGGAGCAAGGGGACGAGGAGACGCAGACGGAGCCCCTGGACGACCAGGAAGAGTCTCCTCCCGACTCGCCGATTCAAGTACGGGACAGCGCTTGATGTGTGTCGTTGTGCAGCTGACACGATGTGCTGGACTTAGTTGTACAGCACAACGTTGTTCTTAATGCAAAGGGAGCTTTTTGCATAGTGTATTGTAATGTATTCTCTTTAATGAGACGTGTGCCATTTTTATGTATTTACCTCAGGAGTCTGAAATGATTGAGGAGGACGAGGAGGAGGACGAAGAGGAGGAGGACGAGGAGGGGGGAAGGGACGACTCTGCTCACAGCCCAGGGTTTGAGGATAAGCCCAAGATCCAGGTCAGTCGGCGCCTCTGTCACTCATCCCGTAAATATGAATCTCAACCTCAAGACCTGCTTCATTGAATAACTTCTACCTGTGCCTCCCACGTCCTCTTCAGAATGTCATCCCCCAGCAGCTGTTGGACCAGTACCTCTCCATGACGGACCCGGCCCGGGCTCAGACGGTGGATACGGAAATTGCCAAACATTGTGCCTTCAGCCTGCCGGGGGTAGCGCTCACTCTGGGGCGGCAGAACTGGCACTGCCTCAAGGAGACGTATGAAACCCTCGCTACCGATGTGCAGGTAGGCGAAGACGTGGGGGACGTGATGTGGGCTTCAACTTGCGGTCTGATTTTTTTTTTAAATGGGGGCGGGGACGTAGGTGGCAGGTATGCATAGTCTGTATTTTGTAGTGGTCAGTAGGGAATAACAACTACTCTGATTAAATCTGGAAAACCGTTATAATGATGTAGACGTGTACATTGAATACACCTTTTCAATGTAAGGCTCAATTTCAAATACCTGGATTTATTGGATTTTGGAGAAATTTTGTCCTGAGACATCTCATTTGAATGTTGTTGTTGTTATTATTATTATGGTGTACTGTCTTCGTTACAAATATTCCAAGCTTTATGTGGGAAAATCCAGATCTCTTTACTCAGTAAATTCAGTTAAGCTCTTGTTGGCATGGAGTAACATTGGTAACCAAAGCTAAATTAAATAGTCTTCAATAATTACATTTTATTAATAAAATGGATAATCACAATATAACCAACTCAATTTCTAAACAGTAGGGTTGCACTGTTTTAAACCAGTGATTGGACAAAGTAGATTAAATTACATGGTGGATAAGTCTGCTGTTGGGTAGAGTTTTGCGTTCAGTGAGGAAGTGAAGCTTGTCGCTCACAGTGAGAACAGCGAGGTTTATTCTGTTTCTTCAGTCAGTCACTGAGATAATCTTTTTTCCAGCTTTATTATTATTATTATTATTATATCAGCCATATTGATGAATACCCTACAGCTTTAAATTCTTTTAATTTTTTTTCGCATTTGCCCGCCGTAACAAAGCAGCATATCTTCCCTGAGGATGAATGACTGATCCTGACCCTAAACTTCATTCAGGAAAATGAATTTATTTAAGACTTGTTTCCAGTGAGAACAATGAGCTTTTTCAATATGCATGTTAAGTGTAAACACTGCTGCTGCTCTAAAGGAATTTGGTCCATTTTTAAAACAAGTCTCATCCAGTTCTGAATTTTAAAAAGGTAAACAGGCTGACATCGTAAATGTAAAAATACAACGTCATTGCGATGTTGTTCAAACTTGTAGCGAATCCAAGATATTCCTCAAACCGCGCCGGCCTTCGCCTGACTCGAGAAAACAAAGCACTCGTTGTGCGAAACGCTCCGCTTGGTGACGCACGAAAGAAAGGCAGCCGTCTGCTCACTTCACGGCAGCAGCGACGGCGTGACGACCACTTAGTCGCGCTGCTGCTCATCATCCGAATGTCGCCGTTGGCGTGGCACTGCACTACGGACCAATCACACGAGGAGTTCAGATGTAGAAGCCTTTCAGTTTTTCATGTTCCTCTCTCGTTGATGGCTCGTGCTATGATCTTTTCCCTCAGTGGAAGGTGCGGCGCACGCTGGCTTTCTCCATCCACGAGCTGGCGGTCATCCTGGGAGACCAGCTGACCGCCGCCGACCTGGTGCCCATCTTCAACGGCTTCCTCAAAGACCTGGATGAGGTCCGCATCGGCGTGCTCAAGCACCTCTACGACTTCCTCAAGGTCCGATGGATGTAGATTTATACATTACATTTCAGCCATAGAGTATTCATGAGAGAGGTGACAGAAGTAACGGGTTTCTTACGTGGTTTTCTCTTTTTGGGTTTACAGTTAGAGAAGTAAACCCCAGTTGGCTTCATGTTTCGCACTAGATAACTAAGCAGGTTCATGTGGTTCTTGTTGCAGCTGCTGCATGCGGACAAGAGGAGAGAATATCTGTACCAGCTGCAGGAGTTCATGGTGACGGACAACAGTCGCAACTGGAGATTCAGATACGAGTTGGCAGAGTACGGCCTTACCAGATAACTCTATTATTTTTTTTTTATTACACTTTCATTTCCATGTTTAACTGATGTGCATGTCTCTTCCCCCCCCCCCTCTTACAGGCAGTTGATCTTGATCATCGAGTTGTACAGCCACTTCGATGTGTATGACTACCTCAGACAGATAGCACTCACACTTTGCTCCGACAAAGTCTCAGAGGTCAGGTGGATCTCGTACAAACTGGTGAGTGGAAGATATTGATATTTTTGATATTTATTCATTTAAATATGTATTTTATGTAATTTTATTTGGAGCTGTTAGAGGGAAGCGTGGTTGGGTCAGGCAAAGGGAAACGAGTCCCACTGATGGAGGATGTGAGAACGTAATGATGAAAAGCTGCTGCGCCCCTAGAGGAGTTTGAATTTGTGACCTTTTTGGAGGGAGAGTCGCGTTAGCTGTTTCTAGGAATTTGCAAAGCTTCCTGGCTTCATATTGGACGGAGTAGTATCGTTTCGTGAATGTTAAACTATAACATTAAAATGCAAATGGAAGAATCATCATGGCTACTGGAGACGGCATCACTGTTTGGGTCTTGCATTCTTGTTCATATTCCCTTTTTTTTTTTTTTTTTTTTTAATTGGTTCGCTTAATTCTTAACAAACTAGCATTTTGTTGCAGATTTGTAAGCGTGTCCTGGCGTCTCTTGTTCTCAGGTGGTGGAGATCCTCCAGAAGCTGTATGCGTGTGGAGCCGACGAACTGGGCCTGAACTTCATCAACGAGCTCACCGTCCGCTTCTGCCACTGTCCCAAGTGGGTGGGGCGGCAGGCCTTCGCCTTCATCTGCCAGGTCCGTGTCTCTGGTCACATTTCATAGCTCAGACGACTGATCAATGTCTGTTCGTACTCTGAACAGATGTGCAAATTAATTATTTCCATTATAATTATTTTTCGTGGAACATTTTAAAAGCGATTCCTCTTAATATTTTAAATCCATCCGTGTCAAAGTTCAAGGAGCCCTGTCAAATAGAAACAAAAACTGCATTCACCATTATTGGTGTAATGGTCACATTCTTATCCGTCAGCAGGTCGTCAGCACTCTAGCTATGCATCACACCACTACAACGCAAAACATTGTGATCATGAGCCTTTCCGTCAGCCTCACTGTCTGGTTAGATTCTTTCATCCGTCAGCTGTTGTGACAGGTTCCTCCTCACAGAAGGCCTCTCCACTCCCGTCTGTCTGTTTCCCCTGCTGTCTTTAGCACCTGCTGTCTTAAGCGCCGGAGTGACTTTTTGTGTGTGTGTGTGTGTTTCTCCTCCCTCCCCACCTGGTACCATCTGCAGGCAATCGTGGAGGAGGACTGCATGCCCATGGAGCAGTTTGGCCAGCACCTCTTGCCCAGCCTGCTCAGCCTCTCCTCAGACCCGGTGGCGAATGTGCGCGTCCTGGTGGCCAAGGCTCTCAGACAGAGTGTCATGGAAAAAGGTAAAGTGAACAAAGTCATTCATGATCGATTTTTTTATTTTGAACTGGTCACACATATATATATAGTTTGAATATTGCCTTTTTTGTGCAAATATTACTTAAACACTATAAAACTGCAGTAAAGTGCCTGTGATCATCTCAAAAGGCAGGAGAATGTCAGCCGGTGTGTTTTTGGGGGTTGAAGCCCAGAGGACGACGTTATGTCGCTCTTTAAATATCAGGGCGACTTACTCTGTCCGTTCTTTGTTATTTAGTACTTTTTTGTGATTTTAAAGATATAGAACATTTCCGCCAACGCACGCTGTGCCTGCTCTCTGTTACGCACATCGGCCCTCTTGTTGCTGGGGGGTGAGGGGGGTCTTTTCCTTGAGCTAACCGAGCCTGGTGTGTTGTTGTTGTTGTGCTCAGCGTACTTCAAGGAGCCGGGCTGTGCCTACTCTGACGAGCTGGAGGAGACGGTGATGGCCCTGCAGTCCGACAAGGACCGGGACGTCCGCTTCTTCGCCAGCCTGGACCCCAGCAAAGGCCTGATGGACACGGCTCCCTTGATTTAGCCTCAGCTCCTCTGAGGCCCGTTGCAGCCCCCTCCTTCCCCCTTTCCTCCCCCACCCGTCTGACTGACGCACAGTCAGCGTAACCCGGCAACACCAGCACCTGACCGGATCCCCGACCACACACCTGCTGGGCAGACCTGCACCACCGACCACTTGGGAGTCGTGTCAGATGACCAGACCACCATCTCAAAGTATCAGCATGTTCAGACAACAGCAGCCGGGCTGCGGTTTGGGCACCGCACAGCGCACAGCGCGTTCACGACACGAGGTTCGCATACTTCTCAAGAGGTTTCTCTCCCGAAAAAATGAGCAGGACTCAAGAGGTTTTGCTGCTTCACTCGGCGGGAGCCGCCATCTTTATGCCCGAACTTGTCCCCGGCCTCTTCCACACTAACGTTGACTCGGCCATTCCCCGACCAGACTTTTTAAACTTAACGGGCTCTTTTTCTCCAAAGCTAATTGTAAGCTTGATTTATAAAATTGCTGAAATGATTTGTTTTTTTCTTAATGCTTTTTTTTTTCTGTTGTGGATTTCTTAACGAACAAGCGGGCGAGGCCTGCCCAACTCTGACGTGTGCACTAACTCAGGGGGACTCGTCTGAACCTAAACAGCATTATTACCGTACACAATAAGCAGCAGCTGGGGGGGGGGGGTGGAGAAAATGATAAGAAAAAGCTGTCTGAGCAACAAAACCAGCCGAACCGAGTAGCTCCGCTGGGGTCTCTCGCCTCATTTTCCTCCTTTTGTCCTCTGGGTTTATCGTCCGTTTCCCTTCTATCTTCTTCTCTCTGCCTGGTCTTCACGGGCCTCTGAAACCACTACTGCTGCACAGAGGGAGGAGTGATTCTGCCACTCAGCGTAAAAAAGAAAGAAAACAAAAAAAACGTATCTCGTTTTTGTAAGGACACAATAACTGTTTCCCCCTCCCTCTCCTCTTGTGTCTTGTTTACCAAAATAAATGTGACACAACGCGTCTCCCAGACGGCAGGAGACGGATGAAATACCTCTTGTTTGGACGCTGGCGGAGGGGCTTGAAACATCTGGAACAAGGGGCTCGCAGCCAAGTGACGCAAATCTCCGTCAGAGGAGGAAGAAAGCAAGCACACAGTTTGTTGGATTCATGTGGATGAATCTGTGCCCCCCCCCTCTTGTGTATAGTCTGTTCCAAGTCCTCACGGTTGACCTCCTGGTATTGAATTATGTGACCATGGTAGCTTTCAGTGGATGTGACCAGATGTACAGTAGGAATAGGAACGACTGATCCTTGCTCGCCTGTGTGGGTGGAGTCCATTCGAGTGTGAGGTCTCAAGTCTTTTGTACAGCTTAAACCTGTGGAAAGCGTTTTGTTGTTTATAGAACCGAGGCCAGTTTTAGTCGGGTTTTTAACCGATCGAGATGTATGTGTGAATATTGGGAGCAGTCACCAAGACACTTTTTGTTCTGTTTTTTCTTCCTTTCATTTTTTTTTTGGAACATAGACATAACTTGAGAACTTAAGCCGATTGTGGTGTGTGCTGTGCATCTCAAGTCTTTCTTCCTTCGATAGGAGAGCTCACCGCGGTAATGCCGGTGTCTACTCATCTCGTCTGTCTGCGATTTGTGTCCATCTCATTTTTTATGTAGTAGAACAGTTAATATATACATTTTATGAAATTATTTTTCTTTTCAATTATGCACCACTGTTCAAAGATTTTATATCCTAACTTTACAAAATTTACAACCTTTGTAATATTCAATGGTTTCTTTTAAAAAGACATTTTATGTAATGTTATTTTTAGTATTCTGTAATTAAAATGAGGAAAATGACTGAATTTAATCTGCACGTTTGTGCCTTTCATCTATTCAGATATTTGAATACAAGCATCAGCGTTGAAGATGATTTAGAAAAGAACAAAAACTTTTGTAGGGTTTAATGTTCACTTGTCCTTTCCTCTACAACAACTAGTCAAGTTATTTACGTCAATGTGTTGAGGATATGTTTAGAAATGATTTATAAACTTTGTTAGGTGGATAAAACAAGATATTTGAATGCTCTGTAAACTGTGATACATATTCTTCACAAATGCAAAACAATCTGTTCATTTTAACCAAGAAGATCCATTCGTAAAACTGGAACCATCTTTTTGCCATTCAACTGGAGAAGTTCCTTTTACACACGCTGTCATAATCCCTGCAAATGAATGTGAATCATCTAAACCACTCTACTTCTCCTCTCTCCCCTTCCCCACGCAGATGTCTTTTGTTCCTCCTCCCTCAGACTCGCCTCCTCTTGAAAAGCAGCAGCTTGCGGTCCCAGGTGGTGCTGCCGAAGCTCTGGACGAGCTCCATGCCGCAGTGTCCCTCCAGGTGCTCCCTGACCTGCTCCGCCACGTCCCCCCGGATCCTCAGGCTCTTAAAGTGGTCAAAGTCAGAGCGGCCCAGCTTCCTCAGCCGCCGGGCCGCAGAGCGGTAGCACTTCCAGGGCTGCGCCTCCAGCAGGAGGTGCTGGCTGATGGAGGCCAGGCGGGAGAGCAGCTGCAGCAGGCCGCCGTCGCCGTGGTTCAGGTGGACCCACATGGTGACAGCCAGGCACAGGGTGAGGTGGAAGCGGGAGCAGCCGTACCGGTCGAGGTGGTCCTGTAGCTGGCGCGTGTCCTTGGTGACGTCCAGGGGGAGGAAGGAGATGTTGCCGGGCAGAGGGTTGTTCTGCTGAGCCCTCTGGATGAGCACCGGATCCAGGTCGAAGCCCAGCAGGTGGACTTTCCTCTCATTGGGCTCCTGAACCACGTGGTTGTAGAAGGCCACACTCAGCTCCTGGCATTCGCAGGGAGGAAGGAAGACGAGGACAGCTTTAACAACTGCAAACCATTCGTTATATGGATGGAACTTTAATTAAACTCCGATCATACTTGTAAGATGGGTCTTAAATATGTTGTGTATATGTCACGCTTTACCAGCATATTTATCAATGGAAAATGTTACCAAAGCAATTGCACAGTGTGAACAATAGAGTAAATACCCTGCATTCGAAATGTTAAGTAAAAGTACATGAGTTTTATCATTAATATACACAAACTGCAAAGCTAAACTTATGCAGAATGCCCCCATTTCAAAACAATACGTCCTCGCGTTTGGCGATGTGTAAATTTGAGTCAGCTCACTAATGCTGCAGGTAAATAGAAATTTGGGATGGATTTCACCTACTTGATACACGGTCATGTATCTTTTGTCCATGTTATTTGATGGATTATTTTGTAATGTGCAACTAGAGAGGACAAGGAAAGTATTACTGCCATAAAATGAAAAATAATGTAAATCAAAGATATCACTACTACTATTCCTGAGAAATCTTTAATGCATATGCGTTATCTCAGCGTTAAACACTGCGTGTGAAATATCGTCATTAATAATAATAATAATAATAATAATAAAGACCGATATACTGTAGTAACAAATAGTTACAGATGCATGTAAAGCGGTGACTGCTTGTTTAAAGTCGCTTACTCCTGAATTACAGCCGACGTCCAGGATGAGAGTGCTCTGCTGTGCGTCGCTGTGAACTGACGTTAAATCCCGCAGTAAAGTGGAGGGAATGAGGCTCAGGCGGTTCTCCGGAGGATTGAAGGTGTAATAGTTTATGAAGTTGCCGTACGGAGCTGCTCCCGGGTCGTTTATTTCATCGTCAGCTGCGCTACTTATCGAGCATGTTGCCATTGTAGCGTGTGCGCCTCCAAAATACACTCGAGTGGAAACGTGTGCTTAAAAGTCGGAGAGGGACAGTTTTGTTCCGTGTTAGTTAAAGTTGGATTTAACTGATTTTTGTTTTTACAGGTATAGTCAACTGCCAAGTAAGAAAAACATAGTAGTTCGTATTGTGTCCACTGTACTTTTTGGGGAATTTAATAAGCGGAGTAACAATACTGAAGGCATCAATTATTTTTACATGTATACATATATCATACTAAACTGAATTTCTATGATGTGTAGCTACTAAACTAGGATTTTAGGATATATAAAACGTAGATATTTTTAACAAAATATACTGTGACATTTTTATGACTTACTATACTACAGACTTTTTATATTATAATTGTATTACTTGTCAATAAGACAAGTAAAAAAACGTCAAGGTCCATCATACGTTCTATAAATACGGTTAATTGATTAAAAATAGAATAGATAGATTAGAACAAACACCACCAGGTTTGAAAAGGAGACGGAAGTACTCCCGTCCAGCAGGTGTCGCTCTGGATCTTTAACAGGCAGGTTCAAAAGTCCCGTCTGGCTTTCCGTATCTTACGAAATGTTCGCCAATTACGTTTTAACTACAGAAGTCTGCGTGCTGACATTGAGGACAACCACACTCACCTGTGTTCCTCACCGCTTAGTAAAATAAAAAAGGTAAGACCAGATTTAGGTATTTTGCTCCAACAAGCACACGTGACCTTAAAACAAAATCAATATAAGTGTGCTAATTTGCGTGCACGTATTAAGCTAACGCTACCTTACAGTTGACCGACTGCTAGCTCGCTGCTAGCGACACAAGACGAAACTTGTTTATATACATTAACACGTCATTTATGGACACACACACGCTGTTAAATTAACCCACACCCCCTCAGCACACCTCCACTCCGGTGCCGGGTGGTGTCGAGGTGCTAAAGGTGCCGGAGGTGCTCAGACTCTCTGCCCCCCCCCCTGGTCCCTTCAGGTTCCTTCCTCATCATGGTGTCAGGAAAGCGACTCGCGGACATCGGCTACCGGGCGTTTTCCACCTCCATGATGCTGCTGACGGCCTACGGGGGGTACCTGTGCGCGATGCGAGGGTACCGCTACATGCAGAAGCAGAAGCAACTGAAGCTGGCAGCGGAAAACCAGGACCCTGAAGTCATGAAAGACTGACGGGCAGATGTGCAGTAGGGGCCTTCTCCAGATGTGGACATTTTCTATTTATCCATATGTTGTTCTGCTTCGCTAAACAATGCAGATGTTGATTCTCCTCAGGACAGCAAATCACTGTGGGGGGGGGGGGGGTTTCGCACACAAGGATGAGGTTTGATAAAAGCTTCAACAAGCAAATGACCGAATAGCTTATTTGTGTTGAGGCCTTCGTAAAAGAGATTGCTGTGATCGTTTGTATTTGATGTCCTTAAACACACGGAGCGATGTATTGTTCATAAACAAGACTGCGACAAGAACGGCCTCTTTTCATCAACAGAATGTATTTGTTTGTTTTTACAAGGTACTTAAGTGAGAACTAGATAGCAGACATCTACGATAGTCCTCAACCCTCGATTCCTCTGTAGGCAGTGACAATCAATTTTATAGGCATTTGGTCTCAGAAGATGTAGTAAAAAAGAATGTAAAACTATGCGTCCGGGTCAAAGTTTCTAAACAATAAGTAAAAAAAATCCCCAGTAAATTGCAGAAACAATCGCTGCTTTTTGTTTAAGTTTTTACTTCTGGACAAATAAACACAGCAGGTAACCTTTTAAGAGCTGATGAAATCACAGCTGTAACACAGTCATTTAAATGTATAATACCTGCTGTGTTGGATGGATTGGAAACGCAACAAACTTCCAGAGGGTAGTGTTTTCTGCCCTTTGTGATCCAGTGTGAATAAACCGGTAACATGAAAATAATCCAAGTTCATCTGACCAATAAAACTGGGAGAGAACATCAAGACCGATCAACAACTCGGCACAAAATAAATCCTATTTAAGAAATAACATTACATAAATCATCTGCTTCATATCACTGCAGCTTCCACGCGGCTCGTCTTGAGTCAGTAGAGGGCTCTTCACAGCAGATGTCAGCAGTGTCCATTGTCAGGTTGTGCTTTCCCTCACGTGTGTGCGCACACGCTTCAGAGGTCATGGGAATGTCAGGAGACAGTCGTTGTGAAGGACCGACTGCAGGGGGCTCCCAGCTTCTTTTCACCATCCGTTGTGCTTCTGCGCTCCGTCTTTGGCAGCGACACAGTTGGCCCTCGTGCCGTTTTGTCCCTTGGGAGAAGGAGAGCAGGGCCCGGGGCTCTCTGTGGGCGCGTCGCACTCTTCCCCCGAGCTGCTCTCGATGTCGCTGCGATCGTCCTTGCTCACCTTGGAGACGGACGGAAGAGAAAACGGGAACAGAAACCAGCATCGAAGAGATTAGACACACAAAAATGCGTTAATCCTCACCACGAACACTCCTGTAAATGAGTAACGTCGGGCCTTTTAGTGGGATTTGTGAAGCTCATTTTTCTCAGCGTATGACGCGTTGTGACCTTTTAGTTCCCAGAGACATTTCAACGGTTATAAGGAGTCTGTTGGGCTGTTGGTCTACACTCTACTTGTAACTGGACTGCGGTGTAACTAATATCTTTCCCCTGATTGGAGATGAGGTGTGTCGATGAGAAGTATCTTTTTACAATACAGAAATATATATAAAACATAAAATGCATTTAAATATTGAAGGTGGATGCTGTAGAGATAATTTTACAAATGTGTCAGTGGTTTGATTTAGTCATACCTGATATTCATGACATTATTACAGCACTAATTATAATTATAATAATTAATCTCTCTTCCTGCCGTATCAGTAAGTGCGGTTAGTTTTTGTTCAACTTTGCTGGCACAAAAACATTGAAGAGTTCTACACACTGAAGGGAGACTTTCACTTAAGAAGAAAGTATTTGCAAGTGGTCGTAAGACGTCAAACCCCTAAGGAGGTCATTACAGTGTTGCTGCGTCTAATGAGTCTACTAAATGAAAAAGGTCAACAAAATCCACGTCTTTAAACTTAATATCCTTTTGTACCTAAAACTAAAATGAAAAAATGTCAAACAAAGTTCAAGGACAAGGTAGGGTTGATTTTGTGTGGATCCACTAATGGTTAACTTGTTTCAGCTCTACTTTGCAGTACGACTAATGCGTCTGTGCTGTGACACACCTTCCCCCGCAGCATAGCTTTCACCGCTATACGGGCTATGAGGTAGAACCAGATGATATGCAGCAGTTGGAGGACCAGCAGCAAGGAGTTGAAGAGCCACCAGGACGGGTACGGGCCGACGATGTCCCAGCTCTCAAACATGGTGGAGTTTAGGACCCTGTGAAACCAGACAAATGTATGTGAAGGTACTCGAGCTGCACTTTAAACACACCATCAACCAGCACTCTTCTACTCAGGCCCATTATTAAAGTACACAGTGTATCTACAGGCGAGGTCACGTCTTCCCTTTTTTAATGTAGGGGAGCGACAGAAGGTTATCGGCGGGACCACCTCCCCAAGCACAGGTATGGATTTCAGTAGCTGCCGCGCCAACATTAGCTTTATCTCTCATCCACGCTAAGACACCGAATATAGCTGCTCAGGTTACGTTGGTCAATGATAGGTTCCCTATTGTCCGTCTGTCTGGAGGTTGTGCTCGCTCAGACAGGAGGGCCGACCCGTCACACATTTCGTCCGTGCTCTGGTAAAAGAGGTTGGATGACGATGAAGCTGCAAGGTGGTGTCGTGGAGATTTCATGTTTCTTCCATAAGAGCGGCGCACGGCGGCATCCTCCATGTTTGCAAAGTACAGGTTGTGTCACTGGTTACAGATACAGGATGTGTGCTGGAGTTCACCGGCCTGCACACCTACAGGAATAGCTGGAAAGACTTCATTCATTCAAGTCTTATCTGTAAAGTATCTTTGGCCTACATTCAGTCAATTAATGCTACTGTTTTGACTGAAAAATACTTCTTTGAATAACACGTGTTAATAAAAAAAAAACTACATAAGTAACAGAAAAACCCAAACACTCTGCAGCTTTGAGAGAGTTTAACAATCTCTGTCCGCACATCTGAAGCAGATTATGTCGGATTACATTGTTGTCTGTGCTAGCAGGTTTTTACAAAGACAAAGTTCTGCACACATTTGTCAGCCTGAGCTCAGAAGGAAGGCTCGATTATTCCACTAAAAAACACATGTGCTGCAATGAGTCTTGTGCATCGATATGTTCATAAATGTAGAATATTGACTCTGCTCAGCTGTGTAACTGAGAACTCACCATACTGGATATATAACTAGTCTTGTGATGAAGAATGCGACACTAAACACGACGAAGATGAGGTCACAGAGGCGCTGGTACTTGGCATAGTTGGCCAGCTTACCTGCCTGATGCAGAACAAAAAAACAGAAGTAACAGTTCATAAGTTTAACGTAGATAATCTTTTCTTTTACTTATTTAATTCCTGGCCTGATACTAATAATCTATTTCGATCTCAGCCAAGCGGGGTGGACAGGAAACTCTAATAATAATAATAACAATTTGTCTCCATTGTTTAAGAAAACGGAAGCAATTTGAAGTAAAAGGCTCCTCAACAAGAGGAAATCAGTGTTAAATGTAAAAGCAGATGGCTCCACAATAACTGCATTAACAACGGTCACGTGTTCCTATATCTGCCTTGACTTTGGTATTAAAGCATCAGCATGTTAGAGGAAACGTCTGTTCAATATCAGATGTGCTGTAAAAACACAGCAAAACACTGTTCTCTTTTCACATTATACACCAATTAGATGTTAGATAAACATTCCCTTTCCGACCCTGAGAGAATACTTGTGAATGACGCATTAAGAACAAGGACGAGCAGTAGAGGATCGGCTACATCTTGTCTGTAGTAGAATATATTTGATACGTAGTTCGTTGCCTAAAACCTGCCATGGCGTCGTAATTTGAATACTCTTTGTTACAGTGTGACCGACCTCTAGCAGGAAGTCTGAGGCGTCGTGAACGCACATCACGAGGCTCCCGACCCGCGTCATGTTGTTGACGTAAGAAAAGCTGATCAGGCTGACTGTCGCCAGGTGATGGACGAACATGATCAGGAAGTCCTGCAATGAAAGAGGGAGACACAGTCTGCTTGTTAACTTGGACCCGAGGTGTGTGTGTGTGTGTGTTGGGGGGGGGACTTAAAAACCTACAACCAAACGGGTACAACAAAGAGGACGTTAATGAGTTATGTGCAATATGATCAGCTGTGACCAGGCGGACTTGACTCGGCTTAGATAAATACTTTCAACTAGAAAGACTTTGAGTGTTTGTAAACCCAGTGAAGCGCATCATCCAAGCTCAGACTACAATGGAGACTGGTAGTCGCCATTGTTTGCATGAATAAAGGCTGATTCGCTTGTCTAGCAGCACCTTTTAACACACGTATTTACTCACCATCTTTGTGGTTTGGGGCGAACTGCAAAGTTATCACAAAGAAATCGAAGCTGAGTAAAGGGAAATGTTAAGAAAGGCTTTAAGGAATTTCTTCAACTCGACAAACACACATCTTGTGAAACGATCTGCAGAGCAGGAGCTCCGTTGGCCGCATCATGCATTCTGCGTCTTACACAGCGTGTGCGATCAGACAGGACCCCGCTTTGAGTTGAGCCGCACGTTTTATTAAAACAGAAAGACGTTGGCCGACTTTACCTGCCTCACATTCCAGATATTATCCGTGTGAGACATCTGAAACATGAAAGGCAAGTGTGCGCCAGTAACTCCTGCTCTACGGCGCTGGCCTTCACAGGAATTTCTGTAATTCCCACCGAGTCAGAGCCCCGTCCATCCTGCAGTCACATGACAGAAGGAGCCCCGCTCGGGCTGAGAAATACAAAGCCTTCAGAGAAGGAGCAGAACCAGCTTAGCCCCTCCCGCCACCCAAGAAACGATAAAGCATGTGACCTTGCAAAACTAGCTCTAGAGGCACTTCCGTGCGTACGTTTGGAAAACTTTGCATCACACAAGGCCCCTCCCCCCTCCCCGCCTCCGTGCCACTGGCAGATGAGGAAGAACACGCGGAGCGGTTGGACTGCGCTGGGATCGAACAGGGATGCTGCGTTCGGCTCACCTTCCTCTTTATGTCGGTGAATTGGGAGAACATGAGGGACCAGTAGAACGCCAGTTCCGTCACGTAGTAGTGGTAAAGACCCGGAGTCATGACCTTAAGAGACAGACAGGGGGGGGGGGGCGGGTTCAGTGAGTCAGTTCAAATAAGAATTCTAATGATTTTTTAAAAGGATGCTAAATGACTAATGACTGGATATCACACAGGATTAAGAGCGACGTGCGACCACCACTGTGCCCACAACCACACACATCCTGGCCCAGTGAAGCACCACAGCGCCCAATAAAGCACGACGAGTTTCTGCCGTTGTTGTGCTGCGGGCGTTTAAATCTCTGCCCCCCTGAATATGCGTCAACCAGAACCGGGACAAATATGAACGTGAACGTGAGCATGAGTGAGTATATAAAGGAAATGTTACCGGTGGGCCTGTCTGGGACTGAACTCTGCAAAAGATATTTGGCCAACGTTATACAATCGTACCATTATATAAAGACAATTAAGTGATTCAACTTGTCAGACTGCTTTTTGACGTTTATACAGGTAACAGGAAGAAGGCACATACAATGACAATGGTCCTTCTGTCCTGTGCAGTTTAAGTATTAAGTGACAAAGAACGGCTTTTCCTGGATAACAGTTATACAATGCAGTCTGATAGCCCTGCAATAAAAGTTATTCCTTGACTGTGTTGGTTGTTCTTTGTAGTTGCTGTGTTTGATTGGGGATTATATAGACAACGATTAGAACGACATCATACCTGATAAGGATAACCGTACCAGCAAAGTCGTGTATCCCACATCCAAGGAGACTAAAACAAAAAGACATAATAGTTCAGCAAACAATCCTGTCAGCTTTTATGTTTGGAAATATACCCAGTCATTAATATTAGAAATGAAAGAACAAACAATGCCAAAAGCAAACTCTCCCCCCCCTCACCCCCCCCCACACTGTTATACTTCCAATTCAAATCTGATCTGATTGTGTGCTCACCTGCCACAGAAACCGGAACCCATAGGTAAATATGCACAAATAAAATGTAAACCTCCACCTACAAGTAAACAAGAAGGAATTATGGTCCAGAGAATAAGGCTGGTTTCAGAGAGAATTAGCACATGTGAGATATAATCCAAAGTATGAGTCTACTTTCCCTAAGCTGCCAAAATCCTTATTCTAACATAACCTGATTCCTTCAAATCTACCATCGTGTGCTCCAGCCTGCAGAGAGGTTCAAGGGTGGAGCTTTAGGGATTAACCTACATGCTCTCGCAGAACTTAGTGTGCATGCTGGGTTTATCCTGGTTCCTGCGCTGTCGGAACCAACGCTGGACCTTTCGCACCTCCCAGTCCAGCTGCTTGGACAAGCCATCCAGACGGCGAGAGTCTGGATTCTGTGCATGAAAAGAAAGCTTGATTAGTGTACTTGCACGGCGTTTGGTAAAAGCATATTTTAATGATGCGCCTTAAACGTTTGAGGCTGTCAACGAGGCACAAATCGAAAGGTCAGAACATCGAGAAGCGTTTCGTTCGGAGAAAGAACCGAGAAGTTCGCGTAAGAGCTTCATCGCACGTGTCTGTTCTCCTGCTTGGTCCCTCCAGCGCAGTAGAAGTAGTAAAAGCTACACCCATCATCATGATTTAATTATTAACAAACACTTAATACACGTTTGTTGCCTGGAACTAGTCACACATCCGATCATGTAATTTATTTTCTGCTTGACTTGTGCACCGGATTTCATTACAGACACTTTACTGGGTTTAATATAACGTCTCAGATATGTTGTTTGTTTTAAATGCCACAACTTTTTTACGTGAGGAAAATTAAACTAATTCACAGAAGAATGACTGTTTCAATGAAGCTGATCCAAATATATTTCTTTCTCCTCTGAGGTGGTTGATATCAATATTGTCTCGTAGCAATATGCATTCTTGTAAACATTGGAAATAGGTGAAGAGATTGTTACAAAGTGCAAGAGAGGTTCCACAGCTGGAATGAAAACTGGAGCAAATTAAACGGCTGTTTTGATACTTACAAACGGTGATTATCTACCAAGTTGTAGTAGAGAAAACTCTGACCAGCTCTGGCAGCCTTAAGCGTCTGTGGTTCCATGTGACCAAACCCAAATGTAATGGAGCATTGTGTTGTATTGTGGAGGCAGCATGTGTGAGATTAACTGTGTAATCGTTAGATCCGTCTGCGAGGTGTCAGGCGATATGAGCAGCTACTGATACTCCAGCACACGAGCGCTTCTTTGCCAGGGAGGAAGCAGCCGAACCTTGGTGATGGACGCGAACACCTTCTCCAGCACGGCGTTGGGCTGAGCTCTCCGTCCGACGGTCGGCTGGATGCGGAGACTGCGTGCGCACGGACTGGCAATAAACCTGTGGCAGAGGCGAGAACGGGAGTGATGCTGTGAAAACACGTAAAGCAGCTCTCTAAAAAGGAAAATCTTCAGGATGTGACCAGGTTTACAATATTATTCAGTATTATCGGACAGATTTTGGGCTCTTAGTGATACACGAGGAGGGGTTGAACTGCGGCAACAATGGCTCTTTGTGGCTAGTAATACAATGACATCCATAACATGGCTTTCGGTTATCAAGAGGCAGATCAGGAGAATCAAGGCCGTGGGCGTTACGTGGGGGGGGGGCAATGTGACCACTTACAACAATGAAATAAAGTTGTATTGCAGAGGGTACTGAAAAGAGGCTTTTGTAAGCAGCTTCAGTGCAGGAAGCTACAATTAAATAAATCCAATTGGCTGAGTTTGTTCCAATTTGTTGTTTATACAAGTGTACTTGTGCGTATTTATTATAATTTGCAGCGACAAACGGGTGCTTAAAGATGACATCTCTGGATGTCTGGGGTTTTTATTTACGTTAGTATTCGCAAACTTTAAATCATAATCAAGAATCCATGAACCAATCATCAAGTGGATTGACGTGAAACATTTAGTCAAATTGCATTCCACGAAAAAGACTATTGTAAAACGGTGAGTGGGCTGGAGGCTCCAAATAGCTGCAACAGAGAAATGTGACGAACGTAAACTTCAAGAAGCAGAAAGAATGTGCAGCCATGTTTACATAAGTGTCTTGTTCCTCTCTTTTAAAAAAGGTCCCCTATTTTTTACTCACGTTTGTTTTGCAGCTACATTCGCAAATATTTCTATTTTGACAGTCTTAACTACTTTTTTTCATCACGTTAGAAAGATTGAATTAACTTTGAGATAATTACGTCAAGTATTTCCTTTGAAAATACCGAGCCGGGGTTGAACCGTAGAGGAATCCTTGAAATGTTCATCACTTAAGGAGGAGGAAACAATGCCTTCGGCCCAACATAAAACCACTCGCACTTCGTCCCCTCCCTGTTTCATTATTATCTCCCTGCAATAAGCAGCTTTACCTCCCGGCACGCTTTAGAGGATCTGCCCTATGAAACGGTTACCCAATCACGGGGGGGGGGGTTGGGAGCTGATGCGGCACAGATTTACCCAATCATCTAGTTTCTCTTGTAAGCACAGGCTTCTTTCTCCAGCACGCGGATCTGAACCCTCACAGGTCCAAGCCTTTCGGGGGCTAATTTGTGTGGCCCACTGGGATTAAAGGAAAAACGATCCCGACCGCCGGTAACCAAGCGACAGTGGGGTTGGTGCAGGCTAGCGGCTGCAAAAGGGGGGGGGGGGGGGAGCAACGAGCTGCATGGAACAGTGCCACTGGGGAAGCTTTGTCCTCGGCGGGGGCACCGGCTTGGTTCTGTTCATGGCTCGCCACTGGAAGCACGATCTCATAACGTGTGGGAAATAACCATAATGCTGAGCAAAGGGGAGGAGGGGGGCGGCGGGGGGCGTTTGATGCATCACATCGCCACCCTGACTCCCTTTCGTTTGACAAACCGGTCTAGAAGAGCCTGCTTGAGCCGCTCCGACGCATTTGATAATCACGTAGCTTTTCAGAAACAAAAGCCAAATATGTCAGAGGATGGAGGAAGCTGCATGGAGGCTGCACGCAGCATCTGATACTCTCAGGTTTCCATCGATTGTGTAACTTTTCTTCCGGGTTGACAGAAAGGAACGAAGTCACCCGGAGGGCAACTTTAGCTGACAGAGATAACGCTTTAGATTAAGGCAAGATACACAAGCGGGTTCTGTGGCTTCAAAAGAAGAAGATAAAAGGCTTTGGCAAAGGTTTCACATTCTTCTTTGACGTTGAAGTGAAAGCTGATACAAATATTTAAAAGGGAGCCGGTTTCAGTTTCAGGCAAAGTGTTTCAAAAGTAAAAGTACGTAATGTCGAAAAATGTTTTGCAATTAAAAGAAAAGAATTAAAAATATTAGGCTGAAAATAGTCATGGAAAAAAAAGTTTAAAAATACTAAGTCAACAAATATTTGAGCGGAGACTTGTGAGGGCTCCAATTTAGGCTGCAACTAGATTGATTGATTAAACGATACGGAAACTCAAACTCTTGACTTTTGTTCAAGAAGATTTACAAAAATAGTTATATGTACATTTCATTTGACCGACCAAACATAATTGGTTTTCTAAATAATAAAAGCTTCTAATCGGAGAAGCCGGGAAGCAGTTGAAAGTGTCAAAGTTCTTCAAAAGAAGTGAGAGCAGTTGAACTGTGATTTGAAGAAAAAAAAACATCTGGGGCGGAACGAGTGAAAACGAATCTGTGGGAGGAGAGAACATACTCATCTGTGAATGTATAACACCCGAGCCTCTTCCTGGAGGTGTGCGGGTGTGTGTACTGGTGCAATGCACTTATGTGTGACGAATAAAATGAATGAGCGAGATTTCGCTCTCTGACGACATCGCCGGGGATCGTCCTCTCCTGGTGGACAGCTTGGCGTTAGGGAGGGAGGGAGGGGCGGTGGAGCTCTGACACCTGAGACGCACAGGGACACTCGGGGACTCTCCTCGGACACCTGCCGGTGCTCCTCGTGAGCGGAGAGAAAAGAAACGACGGTGTTTTGAAGCTAACAGTAAGAAATAAAACACACCTGAGGGGACGACGGCGTCTCTGCTGCTGTTTGACGGTTCAGATTTACAGGAACGGCCCATAGAACGACGCAGGTAAATCCAGAATCCAGCAGTGTTGCTACATATTAGTGTGTGGATTATGTGTTGCAGACCAAAACAAAAAAGGTTACGCAATGATAACTGGCATCTGATTAAGATCGGTGCTGGTCTTTGCCAAGAGGAAATGGAAGTGTACGGTCTGCTCACATTAAGCAAACGCACAAAGGACGCAGCGTGTCCGACACAGTGAATATAGGGCGGGGTGATATTGATAAAATAAATCCACTGTTCTGACTTTGAAATGTTTTCAACAATGAGCAAACAAAATAGAGAAAGAGATCATAGAGATCCGAAGGCCTCGGCAACAATTAATTACACAAATGCTTCTGTCTGTGCTTGAGACATGCAGGTGGGTGGCTGCTATTAAGTGTGTACCAAAGGCGTGCACGTGTGCGTGTGTGTAATTGTGTGCCGTAAAAAGCACGGCTTTACCTCTGCACAGGACTGGATGGATACCTGGAACTACTTTCTCATACTGGATGGATACCTGGAACTACTTTCTCATACTGGATGGATACCTGGAACTACTTTCTCATCCACGAGAACGAGAAAGTAGTTCCAAACTTTTGACTGGTGCTGTACGTGACAAGTTAGCTGCACGACAAAGTTGCAGCACTTTCCATGAAGCATGCACACTAAAGACATGCACAGGTTGGATAGAGGTCAAGGGTTACCACACTAGTTCTGGTTGTGTGAAAATCGCATCGATGGCGGGGTTCGGTTGTAACGGTGTTACACGCACTTGATGCCGGCGTGAAAGAGACGACGTCCAGGCAATTTCTGACACGTATTATTAGTCTTTAGAGACAACAATGTTAGTGTATTTGATTAGGACACGGTGTAACGTTTGACGAAATGCATTTAAAGATTGGCTCCCATCCCAACACACCCATCACTTCGGGGTTTTTTTTTGTTTAGGGAAAAACCTCCGCGTAACGGAGCTTTAGGAATCGTCTCCCTCACTTTCAAACAATTAACAAAAAAGAGGGAAAAAAGTACGAACCTTTCGAAAAGTATCCTCACGCAGAATATCGCCAAAGCCAGCGGGAAGGCGGTGAACAAATGCCCAGCTTTGGGGTACTCCACCCCGGGAGCCGGGTCCGCCAGATCCGCCCAGGTGACGTTGTGTGGGAGCCAGAACCTCTCGTTCCAGAACCAGGCTGAAAAAGCAGCCATGTTGCCCAGTCAGCCGGTCCCCAGGCGGTTGAATTCAATTAGGGTATTATCTGGAAGAGAAAGGATGATGTGTGTAACTTGATGGAAGCCTCCCCCGCCCTTGGGCCACTTGCGCGATGACTTGCCCCCCTCTACTTTTTACCGCACCAGTGTGAAGAGAACCAGAAACTTCCGCTTGGTGTTTTCAAAACAAGATTCCCAACGGTAAAAGTCAAACGGAACAAATAACTAAATATTTAATGCCTCGTCTGTTTGGCCCGTTTCTTGCCAGGTGGCAGACCGAAAACACCTGCGAGTTTTCAACAGTGACTTGAAACTGAAGCTTAAAAAAACCCCGCTTTTCATCGTTTCCCTCGCCCCCCCCCCCACATAGTTTTATTTTGAAGGCGCAGCAGCCCGGCTTCCTGTAGTCTACGTCTATAAGCGTCGTGCTTGACAAAGCCTGGCTGCTGCGTTGAGACGAGGACTGGAATTCAGGAAGTGAAGCGAGTCTCTCCTCCCTCCCCGAAAGGGATGCATGGCACACATCCCTGCGGATTTCCTGTTGGATCTTCACTGTCGACTTTATCATTTAAGTTATTCGGTGTACAGGACTGCACAGCTTCCGCTCTGTAATCCTTTTGACAGGTTATCTGTGAAGGTGCCGAATCAAAAGTTAGATCAAATTAACGGGAGTGGAGGGTATGATTTATGTGATGATGCCCTCAAGTGCCAAGTGGGTGTACTACCACTACAAATGGCGAGTATTATTCAACATCTTGACATACTGTTAGTGCTCAGACACCCAATTGAACCCCACTGGAAAGCATTATTATAAGTTATACATAATGGTTTATTTTAAAAACATAACCAAATTGTGGAACAGAATTTCTGATGGAACCACAATGGTGTAGTATTCCTAAAAGGTGGCATCCCACCATGTGTGTTGTTTAGCAGGCATGAAGCAGCTGCAGTGCTTCCTGCCGGGTCTAATTATAGTTGGACATTTTCCCCTTTAGAGAGCGTTATTATTAGATATCTCTCAGGCCGGTTGACTCAAAAACTATGCAAGGGATTGCAGCAAGGGAATCCTATTATATGTAAGTGGCAAATGAGGTAACTTCATGGTCTGCAACATAACTATGAACAACAGGCACTTAGCATGGAGGAGATACACTGACAAATTGATCCTTGCGTTTTAAACTAAATCTAGAAAGAGATTCAGAATTGTCGTCTGAATGAATCAACTCAATAAAAGAAAAAAAGAAGTAAAGTGATCTTGACAACAGAAGACATTGTTTCATAACTCCTCCTGGAATAATCACACCACCATCAATGACCCACACTTATGAGGTCAGAGACGGGGCGTGAACTTCAAAACCGCACGGTTGAAATAGAAGCTGTAGAAAATGGTAAAGGTGAAGCAGACCGGCTGAGCTGGGGTCCAGTTACTGCAGAGCGACTCCATCCTGCAGCAAGACAGACAGCAGCGAGTTGGACGGACAACATTGAACATGACCACAGGCAAAATGTCAACCAGCTCAATAATTTATTCCAAAAAGAATCATCGTGAATGCAGAAGAACAGAAAGAACACCGTGGAAGTTAAGGCTTTGTCCCTTGATTGGTTAAACATCGTAAAAACAAACGCCGGTGAAAAGGCCCGTGAAGACTTTCTCCTGAATCATTCCATAACATTTCAATACATTCAGTTCTGGGTTTGAGTGTTGCTGTAAGTGGGGTAAACTCATAGAAACTTTTAAGACACTTTGCGACGTGTGTGTGTCCAGGGCGAGTCCTTTCCCGACTTTTAATCCTTCACATGTGCTCCGGGTGGTTCTGCAAACACTTGATGAAATCTGTGACCGAGTGTCCGTTGAAGCAGATCTGGTGAACAGCGGTGAAAAGAGGAAACCTGGAGACGAAACAAAACAAACCATGGAAATGATAAAAGAACCTTTTTTTTCCTTGGAGAGCTGGTGAGCAGATGGGTACCACTCCCTAATATTTGCACACGACGATGTTAACGCATTCATGCGCACAAAATGTGGGACAAACTATCTTGTGATCGAGATCCTTTTTCAACGAAATAGGAGACAAACTTACTTTTCCACCATGTTTTTATGTTTGAGGATAAGATGGACCTCGGACGCGGTCGCCGGGCCTTGGAGCTTCTGACCGTTCAGCATCTCGTTCTCTAACTGCTCAATGCTCTGAAACAAAGACGCGTTCGGGGGTGTCGTTTTAGCGTCGGACGTTACGCCGTCGCGGACGGGGATCGGGGGGACAAAAGTCGCCTTCTCCGTACTTTGCCTGTCTTGGCGAAGGCCTCCCCGACCTTGCGGTTGCGTCCGCCGTAGCAGGTCGTGATGAGGTCGGCGATGCCGCAGCTCTCCAGGAAGGTGGCGGGGCAGACCTGGCAGTTTGTGCAGAAGAACCTGGCGAAGGCGATCATCTCCATCAGGCCGAGGCGAATCACCGCCGCCTTGGTGTTGTCTCCGAATCCCAGGCCGTCGCAGAAGCCCGCTCCCACCGCCACGATGTTCTGCAGCCCGCAGGAAGAGGAAAGGCTGCTGTTATCCAGTGCGCATAGCCTCCACATAGAGAATTTTTAAAACAGGATTTTTTCCGGGATTTTATGTTGTAGGACACATTGATCCTCTGATGTCACTTCTCTGTCAATCAATTAATAAAAACAAGGAGAGCGGTGGTGGAAATTAGTGGATAATGTCCTGGTGAGCGATCAAAAGTATATTAAACTTGGTTGTGATCAAGTATTTATTACTAAACTAGTACACGGGAAAATCATAAAGAATAGAGAGAGCATCAAGACGAGCCGTAAGCAAAGACAGAAGTCCAATGCCTCAATGCATCTGAAAGGGGACAGATTGTTTCTTCTCCTTCGAGCAGGAAGATCTGACCCCCCCAATCATTGTTTGACAGACGGATCATTTGAATGAGAACAACAAGACAATAAAAGACTGCAGGTTCAGAATGTAAGTTACTAAGTTAGTGAGAGACTCCGTGTGCATGTGATCAACTCTCCCTCAACATTAGTGATTAACTGGGGATTTTTACAATCAATACAAACAATTCATCTTCAAGATGAGCATCTCTTGAAGATGGCGTTTTTTAAGCTCGGCCTAAAAAACGTTTTAAATCAACAGTTAAAAAAATGTCTGAATTGATTGTCTCTGTAAATGGTTTGAAAGAAGAATTTGAAGAAAAATATCAGTAGATATTTCTTTTAGAAATAATTCACTTGTCCATCTTTTGTGTTTTCTTGTGTTTTCTCAGCTTAAGCACAGACACAGACGTTGAAAATGCTGCTGTTTGTCAGCCGACCTTGAGGGCCCCGCAGATCTCCACCACGTCGGACTCCTCCACCACGGTCACACGGAAGTTGGTGGTCTGCATCAGATCCTTCAGCATGGGCCCAAAAGCTTTGTCTCTGCACCCTGCGACCCATCAGATCATCACCGGTGTCCACGGTTAGTATTTAACAAATGTTCAGTGTATGTTTTTACCCAACAAGCTTTCACTTTAATTAAATTAATAGAAAAGGCCAATATAATATACAAGATTTTCATCACGTTATTGATATACCAAAAGTCATCCTGTCGTGTCCCTCTGGAGCTGCATTTAAAATGTCCATATAAATATCTAGTTTTGAATAAATACGTTTTTTAATCCTGCAAGCAGCGTGCTTTCCTTCCGCAGCAGCAAGTCATTGCTGCCTCTCAGTTGAAAGCATTCGATGCCTATTTATGATGCGTACCGATCGTCGTTTCACAAAACTTCTCCTCTGCGACCTCGTTGGCGATGTTCGCCCCCATGAGGACGGTCACAGTGATGCCCAGCTTCTCCCGGATGACCTCGGAGATCAGCTTCAGGCCCTCCGGACTCGCATCCACACCCTGGAGCAGACCACAGGGACACACGCACAAAGATCCACGTGCACTTCGTTAACCTTCTGAGTGCGTTTTGAAATCCCTGTAACCCGTCTGGCGCTGCGTGAACCCAAAATGCAAGAAGGAACGTGACCTTGATGAGAGACATTCCCAGCGCCTCCTTCTTGATGTGGTCTTTGATGGTGTCACACACTCTCACAATGAACTGGTGAGGCACCACGAAGATCAGGATGTCGGCTCCTTTCACGGACTCTGCCAAGTCCGGAACGGCCAGCTGACGAGGCGAGAGGAAACGAGGTAGGGGGGGACCTCCGTCATACCAAAACAACAACAGCAACAACAACAACAACCCGTCATCGGAGCCTTCGAAGAGTGTCCTCCACGCTCACCACGTTTGGGGGCAGCTTGTGGCCGGGCAGATATTTCACATTTTCATGATCGGTGTTGATCATTTCTGTGAGTTTGCGGCCGTTCACCGTCTCCTCGAACACCCACATGTTCACCGTGGTGTCGAACTGGTCGTACTTGGCCGCGTTGGCGCCCACGATCTTGGCAATGGCCGAGCCCCTGTGGACGCGGAGACACGCGAGGATCACGCGGGTTCGGAGACAGCGGCTGGTTGGACCTATTGTAACCCGGCGAAAGGTCAAATGGCCACTGTTTTCTCTGGCAATTTAATCAAGGATTTCAATTGATTTCGTAGAACACGTGATACCAGAACAATGCGTGTTGAAACAGTTGTCACATGTTGAGTCTTGATTTTGACTCGTCGATGACAGAGGACCATTATTTTGACATGAGGAGTGTCTCATTTCATAACAGGCTATTAGTTGTCTTCATAACATGCCGCTGGATGAAATCCCACTTTGAGATTACATATAAACATTATTATTTTTAACCCCTCACAACTGATCTCCTCAGAGTCCTCCTACAGTTTTACGGTACATGAGAATTTTCTACTTCGTGCTACATTCATACCTCATAACAGACAATTAATCGTTAAACTTTCAAAATGTAGGATTTAATGATCTCAACCTCCTGCAGCACTGCAATGCTTCTTACATATTAACGCAATAACACACACACACAATCCAGACAAGACTGTTATGAGTATAAACTTATAGGCTTCTCTATTTAAAACAAAAGTGCATTAGAGTGAATTGATAGATATTCAAAGGCCTTCACTCACCAATTACCAGAGCCGATCACACAGACTTTCTTCGGCGCTGCCATTGTGGTTTTTAACCTTCCGGACGGAGCTGCTGCTGGTGCGAAGACACACTGCAGCGGGACAAAGTGTATTTATATCGGACACGCGGCCGAGGCCCGGACACGCCCCCCCGCCGCTGGTTGGTCTGCTCGGGAGCCGCTTTGGGACAAGGTCCCTCTCTCTCTCTCTGGCAGTTGAACCTGCCATGTGTGGGGTCACTTGTTTAAGCTCAGAGATGTGCTGAAATACATCGCAGTCTAGTAAGGAAGTAGCACGATTATTATAAAGATATCAACTTCACTGAAAGGTTTTTCTCAAGGTTAAAGATTTTTGACTTTTTCTCCCTTAAAGCCATTTGCAATCTCAAACTCAAGACAAATTCCTCTTGTGCAACATGTGGCTTCTGATTGTAAAGTTGAGAAATCCTGAGGAAAAACTACTCCACTTTTTAACGATTTAAACATCCAGTTGGTACCACAGTAAAATAATGCCTTTGCACCGATGTATAAATAATAACGGTCAGATAAAATATCAGTCATAGTGGATTTATATATATTTACCGATACGTTTACCTGTGTAGGATTTGGAATGATAAATAACGTTAACTTACTTGTAGTTAAGTATTCTTACTGGTGAAGACTCTTTTCTGATGTGAGAGAATATAACAGGTTAATTGGGGCCGAAAGGGTTTTAGTACAAACAATTTGTAACCCACGAAGGAACATTGAACTGGTGTTCATTATGAAGAAATAAAACCGGCAGACACGTACATTTTACATATCCTTTATTATAACATAAGAACATACAGAAAAATAGGTTTGGTCCATGAAAAAGTTTGCGGATTCAAATACATCTACACCCCCCCCCCCCCCCCCCTTGTTCCAAATCACGTACCTGCACAAACCCACATTAGTGTATTCTTGGAATTGGTTAATTAGATGCACGTCACTCATCTTTACCTTCGACAAGGAAAAAAAACAAAAACAATAAACTCCACAAAGTGTAAAATCCTCAGCCAAAGAATCTACGACTCCTTAAATCTTCATCAACCGTTCATGGCTTTCTCTGCAGATCATCAGAAATACACAAAACTATAAGCAGAATATTGAACTGTTCCTTGCTTGAGGGCGACATAAAGTCGCGTACGTCTCGCCCCGCTGAGCAGCAACTCGCCAGTTGTGGCATGTTCACGCCGAGGAGGGCTGATCAATAATATAAATACTGGTTCAACTATCTGAGCGTAGACAAAAAGTTAAGAAACAAAAAAACCCACCTGTCAGGATAAGATACAATTTCACTTCACATCCATCTTTAGTTTTTTTTTCTTTCTGCTCAGTATTTACAAAACTATATAGACTAGAGGTACTCGTACTAGCTACTTCCTTGATAATCTGTACTAGCTAACAAGACAAGTACTGATATAATACAGATTTTTAAAACAAGATTCATTTATAACATAAAGGGGAAAAAAAAGAAGAAAACTTCATACTAAATGGCACCCTCAAAAAAAACACGTGTATCTCGCTCGGATTGAGCTTTCTCTCCCTCGCTCCACACTGTGGCACAAACTGTCAAAACCAACCAACGAGAGCTTAAGACAAAGTGACACATGAACAGCCAATAAAAGTGGCCATTGATTACAAACACAATCAATATTTAACTGAATGGGCAAATATCCAGCGGAGGCCGAGCCGGGAGAGTAAAACGTAACTTGACTTTACACGAAAGGGGAACAAAGGGTCAAGGCAAAAATCAACACATTCCTGCTGATTTAGGTTATTTTTAGCTTTCGGGGGCAGAATGCATCAAAAGTTGCCCTCCGCTTTTCATTTGTGTACAATCTGTACTTTTGTGTGGGCACACGGTATCAAAATGAGAGGAATGCTTCCGGGTAAGGCTTGGACATGCGAGCGAAAATACATTGCAGCTCTGGTGTGGAAAAGGGAAAGTAGCAATCAAGCTGCAACATTAGTCAGGCTGCAGGCCGAACAAAAAAAGAAGAGAAGGACATCCTATAGAACGGTAAAGCCATCTAGCATCTATTTGTCTCTAAGTTTATCAGAAAACTCCTGGGAGGAATTCATTTGGAGCATTGCGCTCACACACGCGCTGGTCGTCTCCGTGTGGAGATGCGTTTAGGTGTTCCTGATGCCGAGCGCCGTCTCCAGCTCCTGTCGCCTCTGCTGCACCTGAAACACACAGAAGAGAGAAGATTTAATCAGGGGGAGACAATGCGATGATACAAAAGGTCGACGATGCGGAAGTTACGTGATGTTGAGCATGTTCACCATCTTAGTTAAGCAAACATTATCTGATGAGCACTCAAGATAAAACGATTGGTTGATTAGCGGAACAATATACTGATTCATTGTTTGTAGTAATTAGAAATGGCAAACATGATGTGGCTTGAGCTCCTCCAAGGTGAGGATTTGCTGCTCTTCTTTGGTGTTTGTTGAAAAGAAAATTCATTCATTCATGACAATTAACCACCAAAATGGGTGCAATTATTTTTTTTTAAGCATATTAAAGAATTATGATTATAATTGTTATCTAGGGCCAAATATGTGATGGATAACAAAACATCTCATGTGAAAAAAGAAAAACTAAAACCGTAAAATTAATATATACGAAAATGATGCAAACTTAAAAGGGAAAATTTGATTTTCATGTATCAATAGAAGTTCAGGATAAAGTGTGAACCGGCTGCACATAGCGCCGATGTCTCCGCTGACCAGACGCCATTGAGGAAAAGAAGAACCACAGAGCTTCATTTGGACCTACATTAAGCAACTGCTCTCACTGTGAATTCATATGACAAATGGTGGGAAAATGCTCCTATTCAAACCACGTTAACGTCGTCAACAAGTCATAATATAGCTGTAAGACAACTCGGTTAGGCCCCGAGTAGGAACCAGGTGGATTACCTTGGAGTAGAAGTAGCGACAGACGGCCTCCTGCGCCCACGGCTGGTAATAGAACTCCGCTCTCCGCTCCTCTTCTGGGTTTCCTACCACATCTGTCATGGTCTGTGAATAGAGAAGGACACATTCATTTACCCATCAACTGCAGAGTAAGCGGAGATCAACACGCCGCCGGTAGAGGACGAGGTCGGCTGTTGAGCTTTGAACTGAATTTATTCCATTTCAAAGAGAGACACTGCAGGTGGGCCACAGCTGGTCGGTTACCGGGCTCGCTCACACGAGTGTGAATCGAGTCGGACGTGTTATTAGAGGGTTCCTGCTCTGTTTTGACTTTTTTGTGTCACACCTGAGCGAGCAGCATGAGAGAGAGAAAGCGTGACATCCATGTACTTGTACGTGAATAAAGTTCCCACAGAAAACCTACCTAAGATCAAATGTTAACTTATTCGTTATCAACGTCAAATATGCAGTCACTTTAAAATAAACCAAGCGTAAGTATACCAGAAGTCACTTTATGCTAGAGAGCTGGAATACAGAGCAGATGGTGGATTTGTTTGTTCTCATGCAGAAGCAACATGGGCAGAGATACGAGCTCAGAGATAAACGTGTTTAAAGTGTCTGCAGAGAGCTGGAACAGATGGACTCACCTTGAGGTCTCGGCACTGCGACTGCAGCCAGTCGTTGATAAAGCCCTGAGGATCTCTGGCGAAATTCAGCATGAACTCTCTCTGGGTCTTCAGCTGGTTAATGGTCTCAATGGTTTCGTGGATCTGGATAGAATTAAAGCGAAGGAAGAGATGAGTCAATTTCAAGCAATTCAAAAGGGAATAATTAAATGGACAATGGGTGACACGGGAAAGAGGGTGTTTTAAACTACAGCACAAGGTGTATTTCATTAGAAGACAATACATATACAAAAAAACAAAACAAGTCACACGGCTCACAGGAAGCGGGTGTCTATCAGTAATCGCCAGCAAACCAGAAATAAAGTCAAAACACGAACGGCGCCATCAAACTATAAACACGCTTTCGCCATTTACAATGTTGACTGAGAACAAAAGACCCAGGGGGACGTCTTCTAGGTGGGCGGCGCCGCATCATATCAGTGTGATTACAGCCCCACAGCCACCCCCCCCCCCCAGCAAAGGAATCAGCTGTTTGAGTCAGAAGGGATTTAGTCTCCCTCTGATGAGTGTCAGTCTAGTCTGCTGTACCTTGTTGTCCAGTCCTGCTATTTCCTGCTGGCTGGCTGTGGAGAGCAGGAAGGAGTTCATCTGGGTCTTCAGCGTGTCATCCACCTCCACATCAATGTCATAGCAAGCAGTCTTCTTTTGGTCATTGGGGTCAACACTACAACAGAATACAGTACATTCAGCTCCGGTGTTATGCGGATAGGTTGAGTCAGCCGCCAGGAGATCGGTGGGAAAACAACTTTAACGTGTGACCTTGGTCACGGAGGGGACTTCATTAACTCTGTGATGAAGTTACCTGATCACATGGTTGATGATGATGGGCTCTGGGGGCATCAGGAGTGCGTGCAAGCGCTGCGGGATCTCGGAGAACTTCATTCGCTGAGTCTCAAAGATCTGCGAAAAAGAAAAATCCGAAACCGGTTTTAATCAGAGCCCACGGCCAGCAAACACCAGACTTATTAATAGAAATCCTTCAGACCAATCACGGAATAAGAAAAATGAAATGTGATATTTTGAGCTAGTGCTAAAAACTTGAAAATGAGCCAGTGCTGCACGGGTCACACTGCATTTGACTTTGGTTGTATAAGAAGCAGAACCATTTATTTGTTACACATACAAGGAATTTCTCTTTTCATTTATGAGCCCAACTGCTGATGGGAAGAAGCAGTTTGTGGCGGGAGATCTTGGTCCTGATGGATCGTAGCCTCTTTCCAGAGGGAAGGGGCTCCAATGGCTTATGTCCAGGGTGAGAGGGGTCGGCTACAATCCTCCTTTCTCGCTTCAGCATCCAAGAAGCAAACAAGTCTTCTAGAGATGGCAGATTGCAGCCAATCGACCTCTCGGAAACAGAGCCAATGACAGAGGAGCACGCCCTCATCCTTGGCTGTAAAGAAGGAGCAGAGGACGGACTACATGATGGATGTAGAAGTGCACCAGCATTTGTCTTAGGAAGCTGGAACCGGTGCCGATGATCCGGGGGGC